CATAAAAAATATGAGCTTTTTACCTGGGCCGGCAATCTGGCTTCTTTGACTTATCCACCAAAGATGTCAAGTTTCATTTTGGGCCATATTATAGTGCTGAAGTCAGCCGAATTATCCTTAAATTAAAAATAATGAGTAATACTTTATATTAAATGTTGATGAAACTTTTTCAAGGGTTGAACTCTTACCTTCATTTCTCTTTTTAAGTTTACGAAGGTGAAATATTTATGAGAATCTTGATTATTTCGCTTATTGATCATCTCATGCTTTATCATTCAGAGAGCAACTGCAAAGCATAACACTTTTCTAAATGTCAAAAAAACACACTTCAATATCTTCACAACAAACTCTTATTATTAATATTATTAACATTTTAAAATTTAATTATTTTAATTTAATTAAATAAAAATATATTAAATATATAAAATTAAGTATAGAAATATCTTCCTTTGATTAAAGTTATGGTTCAACGTACGCAATGATCAATTTGTCTTTCATCTCACTCACAATAATTTAATACTTACTTTTTTTATTAGAAAAAAAAAGAGTCTGTATTTACCGTATATGGACGTTATTCATTGAACACGCGAAGACACCCTCTTGTTCATTGAAGATTATCTGGTAAAAAACATTTATAAAGGCGTGACGAACTTGTCCTGTATGGTTTTGTTATTTAATAAGATCACTGGCAAAAAAAAAAAGAGGAAAAAAAGAAAACAGAGAAATGTCTACAGACTTGAGTTTTTATTTCCATTAATTGAGGATAAATTCTTTCAGCGGGATTTGAAAATTTCTGGTGAATTAGAAATGTTCACGGAATGAAATGGGATAGAACTCTGTATCTCACCCCAAAAAGAAAAATCAAAAATAAATTTTTGTTCTATATCTTGTTCTATCCTGAAAGTCGTCTCATTCTATTAGGAATCGAGATAAAATTTGAAAGTCTCACCATTCTGATAAATCGAATAATGTCAAAAAAAGATCTAGATAATAAGATTCATTAAAATTTTAAATTAAATAATTTATTAAGTTTAAAATCAAAACAACACAAGTACATAAATTACAATAATTTAAAGTTAATTATTGAATTATATTAATCACAACTACACATTATTATAATACTTATAAATGATCTTTAGGTTATAAGAGTAGCAACAATAGACAAATCAAGTACAATATCAAATTATTGTTTTTTACTTTAGTTGAGATGTGTTAAGCTAATTTCTCTTTTAAAAATAAAGTAAGAAATAAGATATAAATAAAAGTTATTAAATAGATAGATATAAGAATAAATTGTATTAATATAATTAATATATTATAAAAAAAGATATTACCCTGTTTACTTTATATCATTAAAATTATCAATATAAAAAACTTTAATTTTATATAAAAATTGTAAGTATTAAAATTATAATTGATATAATTAATATAAGTATAAACTATATTAATATATTTAATTTATATTTTAAAACTAAAAATAATATATATATATATATAATATTCGGGATGAGACGAGATATTTTAATAATAATTTCGTGTCCCATTTTATCCCATCCTGAATTTTTTTTTTGTCCCGTCTGACAAAATTTCATTTTGATTGTTATTTTGATTGTTTTTGAACTTGGACGAGACTCATTCTGATTATATATTGAACCAATTGAAATTGGTACAGATTGAACACACCTACGGTAAACAGAGAAGTGAGTTTGTTGGTTCTCTTTGATAGTTTCTGGCAAAATAATAAAGGAAATAATTAATTAATAGTAGGGTCTAAGAAAGCGTAAATGAGGAAGGGCCAGAAAGTGTGGGTTTGATGAGGGACATGACCAATTTTGGAGCTTTGTATTTTTGGCGATCAATCATTGAACTTTGGAGCCTACTTTTGCTCTCTTCAAGCAACTCTTAATATTTAATAAAAAAAAAATCTGACTGTTTTGGCTTCTTGTGCCACCTTCATGCATTGCCAAGTAAAGGGAAAGTACCCAGAAACACTCTTTCTAATATTTTCTCTCTTCATCCTTTGAATGAGAAAGTCACTGCAGCGCCTTCTAGATCCACATCATATCTCGCCCTATCAATCACCTTTAAAAAAAAAATTAAAAAAAGGAGATGGAAACGATAAACATCGAAGCTTCTTGTTGCATCTCATTCAACTTTTTATTTACATAATTAATCGGAAACTTGATGTGTGATCAAGACGTGCCAAAGCCGAACAAAAAGGGGAAACGCATGGCCCTGCCCTGCAGCTCATATCGTTTAAATTCAGGTAAGCAAAAACTTACTCTTTATATGAAAATTTAAAAAAAAATTAATATATACTTCTTCTATTAAAAATATAAATCATTTTTAAAAGAATTAAATATTTAAAAATATATAACATTTTAACTCTTTTAAAAATAAGTCATATTTTTTTAAGACGTCTCTATTGAATAGATTACTTTATATTTTTTAAAATAAAATATGTTATTAAATAAAAATAAATATAAAAAATGACTACTATTTATTGAGAAGTGAGATTTAATTAATTTTTTTTATTTTTAAATAAAGGAAGTATGTGTGTGCGTATTTCTTAACCACCTTCTATTCAAGTGTTCTCCGTCCAAATAAGACGCTTCTTGCCATCATCATTTATTATACAAAAGATTACAATGATAGTGATTATTAAAGGTACTTGGTTCAATTAATTAACGAAATTAAATTAATTTATCTTGTACTTTCAATTTTATGTCCTGTGATATACTATTAGTTTGAGTTAGAGGTGATAATATTTCTAGAATTTTAACAATACCAAAAGATGGGATGAAAAAATGATTACAATGTTCTCAAACTCCATTGGAAATTTATTTATTTACAAAATCTAAGAACCAAATACATAAAACTAATGCAAGGATGTCACCCTAAGAATCATAAAACTAAATTAAATCAAATATTACAAACGAACTTCACACAAAAAAACACAAGCACTGCATGTGTAATTGACAAATCTTAGCCATTCCATCCCTATTTTCTTTAATATTTGCAATTATAAAAATATATCCACCCAAAAAATAAGAAAACTAAAACAATTCCTAGTAATATCATCCTTAAAACATAAAAAAGTAAATAGTCTCATAATTTATAGAATGAAATACAACGACATTCTTTTTGTTTTGCTCGAATTACATTGACCTTTCTTATATTTTCAAAACCTACACTTTAGTTTAATTATTAAAATAGATAGAAATGTTCCATTAAAAATTCTAAAATACTTAATTTTTTATTTGTAATATGTTAAAAATTTTAAAATTATTATTCTAACTTTATAATTTGATTGTATATTCTCTCTCTCCGAAACTAAAAAATTTAAATAATTACGTTGATATTTAAATAAATAATTTTAAATTTTATGTTTAATTAATAAAATTTAAAAAATATTTAAATTATATTGACTATCTTATAACATTAAATCCTATTATTTCATTAATTTTTTAACTGCTTCTCTACAATATTATTTTTGCCAATTTATGCATTAAAATTTTAGAAAATGTTACTGAATAAATATATGTATGTAACTAAAAATTAAAATATAGATGAGAAAGTAAAAATATATATATGCATTAATTTTTTTATAATTAGAATGATTTTTAGATAACTATATTTAAAGAATGAGTATTTTAGTCAAACATATATATAATTTAACTGTCAGCTAAGATGAAATTAAAATTTTAAAATAGAGAAAATGTTTGTATTTTCAATTTTGTAATTATTTATATTAGAAAACGTTCCTATATAGATATAAAAAATAAAATAATATATATATATATATAATTAAAGTAAAATAAAGAAGAGTTTGTTCACCAAAAAACAAATAAAGAAGAGTTTAGAGCATTTTATTCTAACTTATTATCACCGGCCGTCATCACAAGTCCCCAATATCTCACGATCAAGCTCAACGATGACTTCAAAAGACGTAACTACCAAACCAAAAAATATATTGGCTCAAAAAAAAAAAGATGACCAATTTTTTTTTTTTCAAGAATTTACCAGCATGCAAATGCTCACCACTGGGAGAAGAAAATGATACTATTTTAATCTTATTTATAAGTCACTTTTAATATATTTTATCAGTATAAAAAAATTTTAAAATTAATTAATTCTGTCTTAAAATTTAAATAAATTTTTAACTTTAACCTTATTAAATACACACAATTTAATAATATATTTTCTCTCTTCAATATTCAATGGAGGGTAAACAAAATTTATAATAAAAATTTAATGACGTGACTTATAAATAAAATTAAAAAAATTTTCTCTCTTTCTTTTAAATAGGATTAGAGAGAGTAATTTCAATCACTTAAAGAGAGAGCATAATCTAATGACCAATAACTACTCCCTCTCCTTCATAAAAAAAAAAAATATTAGTTTGGTCTTTTTTGTGACTTCCAAAAATATTTGTCGTTTAGAATTTCAAAGAAAATATTACTTTTTTTTCACTCCTCTACCAAGTATTTAAATGAACGGTATTAAATTTAATTACAATGTAAACTATTAAATAATTTCCCCGTTTCCCCGTAACCTTCCCCTCACCCCCTAAATGCATTTAAGGATGGCAATTGAGAATGAGTCAATGGGCTTAGGAGATGTTAGGCGCACAACAAACCTGTTGCTGACCATCTAATAAACACATGATCAAAACCTTCTCCCTTACTTTTTTTTATTTTAAATAAACTTTCACGTATCAATAAATTTTATTAAATATATTTATTATTTTTTAAATTAAAAATATAAAATTTTAAAAATCTTCATAATTTAACCTATTAAAAAAACCAAAATTAATCATAAAAAATAATATTAAAATTATTACATTTAATAAATTCTTAATTTACTTAAGACATCTTATATTTTAAAATAAAAAAATATTTTTAAAAATATTCTATAATTCAAAGACGGAAGAAGTAAAAGTTAAATTAGTAAATTAACAAAAGGAAAGGCACGTGAATTTAGACATTAGATGGAACAAGTTTCTGAATTCGCTTCCTTAGGGCGACGAAATTTAGTAATAAAAATATGGGATCTACATAAATTTTGATCTAATCTACAATACAGAGACCAAAGTTGAATTCAATGCAAAAATAGAAAGGCAAAATAATTAAACTACAGAGAGAGAGAGCGCATCGTTTTCTTTTCAAAGATGCAGACTCCGTGAATGCGCCTCTGAGAAACTTCTAGGAACTGGTCCCACTCGGTTAACGACGCACGTGACCCTTGGCTCGTACGTGCGTCTCCGTATTACGGGACCCGGATTCTCTATGCCGTTCCTATCCTGATCTAAGCATATTCCCCCACTGGTGTGTGCCCATTAATTAATTACACACACTCTGATTAGCCATGTCGCACTGATTCAGCCACGGTGTCTCCTGATTCTCTCGAACGTTCTGACAATCCAACGGCTCAGATTTCACCTCCGTTGGCCCCGGCTGGTGTAAGCTTAACAGTGTGTCCTCCTCCTCCGCTCCAGCGGTCGCTTCTCTCGCTCTCTTCGCCCCAATCGCCACCCCAAACAGCTTCGGATTTAACTCTTCCGCCGCCTCACCGGAGTTCCGTTTTGACGGCATCAAATCCAGCGGTTTCACGGCGTCTTTTCCTTGCAAAGCACCATCGTTTTGGTTGTTGGTGTAGTTGGATAACAGAGAGAAAATATTGTTACAGAGAGATCTCATCTCCGCTAATTCCTTCGACAGCTGGACGTTCTCTTTCCGCAGCCTGTCGTTCTCATCTATGAGGTCAGCCGGAGCTTTCGAGGACGACGAATTCGACGAAATCACTTGCTCTTCATCTGAGTTTGATGGCGATATGATAGGCATCGCCGTCGGTATAGAAGTCAACGGTACCGGCGTCGGCACTGCCACAGTCGCAGTGGCTCCGGCCTTCGCGACCGGCGACATCGTTGGCGGCGTCGAAGGTGTTGAAATCTTCCGTCGCTGTATCTCGCACAAAAGCCGTTTCTCGCCTCTGCGAAAACACTCGTTCGAGAACTCCCACCGATCGGGTACAACCTTTCTGAATCCCTGCAAATATACAAAAAATAAAATACAATTAAATTAAAGATTCAACGGATTGAAAAAAGAAGATTAAGACGATATATGATAATTACATAGGTGTTGAGTTGGCGGACAAAGCTAGAGAAGTTGTTGTGCTTAAAATATTTAGGAAGCAAATCTCTGGCGAATTCGGTAGGGTTCCAAACGATGAAAGTGGATCCGTCTTCGTTCCACGAAATAACATCGTCTATGGTGTGGTCGTCGACGAGCTGATACGTTTTGGTGAGAAACGGCGTTGGAATAGATCTCTGGGTGTCACCGGCCGTGGACTCGCCGTTGTGATCCACCGGCGGCGGAGCCATATAAAACTAGCCAGAAAGCACCGGAAAATATGACCCTGAGATCAGGTTAACTCGTAAAATTTACCTGAAAGTGGTGTCTTTGGGAGGGTTCAAGACCGGCATCGTCGGAAGGTGAGCCAGAAGCGGGGAGAGAGAGATGAGGGAAAAAGTGGAAGGAGGGAAGGGACGGAGGAATTATGAAAGCATTTCTAGAAGGTTCTCATGAGAATTTATGAATGAGAGAGAAAATGGAATGAAGGACGGAAAAACTGGGGAAGAGAGAGAAAAGAGGGGAAAAGGAAAGGAAAACGCTAGAAGGTACTACGTTACGTCTTCTAATCGAGAAACTTCCGTTTCTTTCGTTAGTTTCCGTTTTCATGCATATATGAACTACTTGTGTGTGCATGTGTAAACCGTACACATTCGGTTTTTTTTTATAAATTATTTTTATTAATCTTATCAATGTTAATAAAAAATTATAAAAAATAAAAATATGTAAAATTTTAAATATGTTTTTATAAATTTAATATATGATTTTATGTTCTTTAATAAAAGATAATTTTAAAAATATACATTGTAATTTATAAATAAAATTAAATAAACCTTTTAAAATATTTTTCATAAATGGAGGAGGGAGTACATTTATACTATGTTATATATTTTTTAAAAAAATTAAATAAGTTATATGCATAAAAAACTTATCAAAATCAAGATAATCTTACAATTTAAAAAGTATTTATAGAGTGCTGTCTACTCTCATGTTCTATTTATAAAGGAAAGAAAAAGATTTTAATTCTATATATGAATCGTGTTATTAATTGTTTATCAGAAGTTTTTATGGCTGGGATTAGGGAGAGTATTAATAAAGTTGTTATACTGATACTTGTGGATTATTTATGATCACGGGATTTACATCACCGCAAGGATTTTCAACGATGTTCTTGAGTTGTGAGGCTGGACCACGTCTGTTGGCTGGTAGCCCATCATCATTTATGTGGGGTGTCTTTTAAAAAAATTAATAATACACTTAGTTTTTTAATTTTATGTAAGATTTTAATTCATTTTTTAATTTTATAAAGTATTTTTTAATTCTTTACCTCATTAATAATTTTAAATAATTATTTTTATATTAATTATTATTATTTTAAAAAAATTAAACTTAATATATTAAAATTTAAAAATATTTTATTAGCATTTAAAAGTTTAATGTAAAAATTTGCTGTGAAGAAATTAATGATATGAAGATTAAAAATTTAAAGAATAATTTATAAAATTAAAAAATAAAATAAACTTTTATATAAAATTAGAGAATTAAATATGTATTTTAAGTAAAAAAAATAAAAGAATGAGATTTTATTCAAACTAAAAAAAATCTCTCTGTGGAAAGGGACAAGCACTATTTAACATTTTCAAGAATGTTATCTTGAAGAAGGTGCTCGTCCAAAAAGACGCACGTCTGCGTAAATAATAATTGAATAATATAATTATAGCAACAATTTTTTTAATAATGTATTGCTGGTCTATATTCCTCTGCTTTGGAATTGGAATAATGAAATATATCCGTCCAGTTCATCATCAATTCATGTAGTATTTATCGATATAACAATATTTTAGACTTCATACAAATTTTGTATTAAGAGCCATTCTTATACAAATTCTTTTTGAGTTAAATTATAGCAACTTAGTTTTTCTCTTTTTTTTCCAAACCAATACGGCAACTTAGTTTTGTTGTCAGTGTCCATTACTTTGTCTTGTTATGGTACTTTCACATCAGGAAATAATGCTTTGTCAATTGTCAGTATAAATACTGTAAAATATATTAAAATTTAAAGAAGAAAGGAAAGTAAGATGATCGAACGAAAACTGCACTCAAAATACCACATTAAATCAATTTAATTTTTTTTCCCAAATAAAGAAGTTTTTTACTTTTAAGTTTTACTTATTCTTCTAAACAAGCTGCAGGAATCTTCGCGGCCTTAAAAAGAAAGAAAGAAAATAAAATAAAAAAACAAAGCTGAAGAAAATCATTTTTCATGGACCAACAAAAACCTTCATGGTCAAGAAAGACAAGTAATAATGTTCAGAACAACATTGTAAGTGAACCATAATAATTATAAACGAATCAAAGACGATGACTATAAAGTTAATTATAATTATGATATCCATTATCCAGTAACGAGAATGCTCCGTCAATTTAATTAATATTTTAATAATTTTGATCTTAATCGTCTTATGATTTAATCTCCGCAGTTTCCTTATTCAAAAATCACACATACCTTCATGCATCTAAACAAAGGCAGTGAGAAGCGAGTAAAGTGGTAGAAGAAGATGATAAGCAAATGAAAATTAAAGACTGAGTTTGAGTGGGTCCCCCTTGGACCTGGGTTCGAGAGTGATCTTCGGCGGTTGGTTTCCATGCTTATTCTTGAGATGAAATATAGATCATTCAAATTTTAATCTAAATAATTTAAATTTAATATTTTATATTTATTAAAATAAAAATTATAAAATAATTTTAATAAGTTTTTTATTCTTAGTCTGATTTAGATTTAATTTAACAGGTTTGATTTAATATTAAAATTTTTATGCTTGATATATAATGATTATTCAGATGTATCTTACATAGTTCTGAACCGTGCAGAATAAATCTAAATAATCAATAGACATCAATTATAAAAATTTTAATATTAAATTAAACTTTTTAAATTAAATCAAAACTAGATTAAAAATAAAACATTTATTACAATTATTTTATAATTTTTATAGCTTGTATTTTAATAAATATAATATATAATAATATAATAATATTTTAAATCTGAATCATCTAAATTTTTTATCTAGATGATATAAATTTCATCTTAAACACGTGCTCATTTGAAAACGAGCAGGGAAACTCAATCTGTGATGGTTGTGAGGCCACCAATTATGCCAATCCTCTCATTGGCTTATCCTGTTCTCTTCTCCAAATTCCATTTTATGTTTATCCAAACCCATCGACGGCGACCCTCCCTATCTGTCTACCGCTCTCTTTCTCTTCACAGTTGATGATATTTTTTGTTTTAAATTATTAATATTGTGTGGAAAAGATTTAAATTTCTATAGTTATTCTTAAATGTGTCATCTTTCAAAACCTGCTCTCTCTCATGTGTAATATTCTACTCTACTCACAGGAAATATTATGAAAGGGTGAAATTGAAAAAAAAAAAAATCATACAAAGTGGAAGGTGTGACTTGTGTTTGGGATTATATGAAATATATTGATTTGTGTTATGGTGTCTAGCAAACGAAAAATCTTAGTTCATCACACCACTTTTCCTCCCTCTCTCTCTCTTCATTCCTTTTGAATGTTTTCGCCCTGAAATACACACATACACACATCAACAATTTAAATTCAATATTTCTTTAAACGAACAACAATAGTGGGACCATGTACCTTGAGGCTCACCTATTTTTTTTTGGCCAAAAAAGCTCACCCATTTTTTCAGTACAGCTAAAGAATTATTTTATTTTATATTTTATATGTTTCAAAATCAAAAAAATTTAAACAGTAATTTGACCCTTAATTATAAGCCCAACAACAATTGAAATTCTAAATTTATTTTTTTTATATAATATTCTCCTTCAACTTTTAAAAACAGTGCAGCGTCAAAAAGGATCAAGAAAATATTCTTAGTATTTTTCTTTAATTTTTGGGGTTCTTGTTTGTAATTTTTGAATAATTTTCTATAATTTTTTCCTGGTGGTTTCTTTTATTATTTTTTGATTAACTAATTATCTTTAATCTATAATTTAGGAATCCAGTTGTCCCTTAACCCAATAAAAAAAAACATATCACGTCTGAAAAAAATGTTCAACTCAAAACATTCCAATCTAACTGGGTGACTCAAAAAATGAATAACGAAAAAAATAAAAGGACATGCTAATAAAAGTTGGAGCTCTAGGCTAGATGATTACTTAATGAAAAATATAAAAAACCAATTTTTTTCTCGTTTCCCTTGGCCTTCCCTTCTCATTGTTTCATATTATGTCCTGTTTGGCATGAAAAGAAAAGTTTTTTATAGAAGGAAAAGTGAAAGTGAAATAATAAAATATATGCTATTTGATATGATGATAGAAGTGAGAAAAGAAATATGTTATTTGATACAGTGATAGATGTGAGATAACAATTTTATTTAAGTGAGAGAGATGTAATTGAATTCTAGCGACTTCTATAGTTCATGATGAAATTGAGTTTTAGAGAATTGAATTCCTACATATCAAATAAGTAAATTTCATAATTTCATTTTCACTTTCACTTCTTCAATCTAAATTCTTTCATACCAATTAATGAATGGCGTGTTTGAATTTCAATTGAAAAAATTTATTATTAAAAAGTGATGACATTTGCATAAATTTTCAAAAATTACTTCTGATAAAATTAAGAATATTTGGATAATTTTTTTATAATCAATTTTGAATGAAAACCAGAATTGATTTTTCAAAAATATAACAAATTTTAGCTTATTTTAAATAAAGTTTTGAAAAATAAATAGAATTTGGATAAAAAATTTTAAAACTATAATTCAATCCTAAAATTAATTCTAAAAAGTATTCAAACGGCCAGAGATATTATAGTTACTATTTGCATAAATTCCAGTTGATGACTTAAACCACGCTGATCAAGAAAACAGAGACACAAGCCCGTGGCTGAAACATGCACGTTGCGATCACAGAGAAAGATTTGTTTGTACTTCCAACCCGCTAATAAGTTTCCTTGTCATCAAAGCAATTATTTTCGTTCCATTCATAACCATAACTTTAGGGCATTTTACAAAAGAGATTAACTAACAATCGGCAAAATATGTTCAATGTCTGATCAATTGCTTGATACATCCATCTCGGTTTCTAATATGTTGAAATTAGAGTGTGGATCTTATATGCTTATATAAAGTTAAAAATAAGTTGCAATAAAACAATATAGAGCTAAAACAACAAAAATTAAAATGACTTTAGATTGTAATGACAAAAATAATAATTTACTCATTTATTTTTGATAAAAATAATTTACTCATTTTATTAACTCGACCAGCAAATTATTCATAGACAAACATAGGGGTGAACATTGATCGATTCGATTTGATCTCAAAATATGCAAGAACCGATCAATCGAATAACACTAAAAATGAAAATCAAATCAAACCGAATAAGGATCGAATCAAAATTTAATAATTTAATTTGATCGGTTAATTCAATTTTTTAATTTTATATTGAGCTATTGAAATTGGGCCTATTTTTTAAAATATCAAAACAAACAACACTATAAAATTGAGCCCTTTTTTTATTTATTTTTTTAATATGAGCTCATTTTAATTACATCCATATGACATAAAACTTAAATATTATAAGGGCATGATAATCAAATAAAAAATTTATAAAAAATAAGGTTGAGAGTAACTAATCAAAATAGGGTTTCAAGTGATGTTATTATTTTTTATTTTTTATTAAAATAAAAAATAAAAATAAAATAAAATAATTTATAAGTTAAATATAATTTATAAATTAATAAATTATATGTAATTCAATCGATTTAATTTTAAATTTTACTAATCGAATTGAACTGATCAACCGAAATATTTAAAATAAAAAATTAAATTGAACCAAAAAATTAAATAATCGAATTAAATAGATAAAATTTAATTCGATTCGGTTCGATTTAATTTTACTCACCCTTAAAGAAATGATATCAAACATAACTCATATAAATTTAATGGTGGAATTCATGTACAGCTAGCCAAATAATTGAAATAGGATTATAAAGTGAGAATTAGGGTTCAAAACCATTCATGGTACTCTAAAAAGACCTAATGTAGTGTGGGAAACTAATATCTGATTACAACGAAAAGAAGTGAAAAAAGAAACTTTAGCAAGAAGATAAATAATAATAATAATAATAATAATAAAATTGAAAGAAGAGACGAGAAGGATTCCAGGGTCTTGTCATGCAACCAACGCGACAGCACTTGCCTGCTCTGAATCATCAGTAATATCATGTTGTCCGTTTCTCAATCTCTGGGACCACCTGTTAGGGACGCATATAAATTAGCCATTGGTTCCCATGTGATAGATTTTTCAATTTCAAAAGCTACCAACTTTCGGTTGGTTGTGTTCTGAGTTTTCTTTCATAACAATGTAATATTGCATGCGCTCATGTATGCGTGCGTACATGATAAAACCATAGATTTAGTCATACGAACTATTTTTCAAAAAAATAGTGGATAATTTATATTATAAGGTGTTATGAAATAGATTATTAATAGCACCTAATACCAACCGTAATTTACTATTGACGAACATTTATTCAATATTATAGCCCTCACATGAATCTAATCTAATACGTGGCATTATTCATTCCTCCAATGCATCTCTCTCCTACCTCTCCCTTACCTTTAGCATGTCTTCTCTTTCACTCTCTATCCTCACCATCCCTGTCCTCTTGTTCCCGCTCCATCAATAAAACAACCCCACCCTGATGTGTTTGTGATTAGTGCCAATGCACTTAGTGCGAAAAGAATTCTGGTCATAGAAGGCTCTCTTCGGCCACCTGAAATGTCTCATCCAGCTTTACGCCAGCCTCAAAGATTCCAAGACTGGAGTCTACTTGAGGAGGTTAGAGGCTTGCTTGACACCTCCAGTGTCATTGATGGCGATCACGTTGAGGGGAGATTCCTTGAGAGTTGCGACAGTGAATGTTAGGAGTTCAACACGTGGTGCTAGACAAAGTCACCAACTCACTGGGATATTGCCATCCAAGAGCTTAACCCTCAGTTCACTCATGCATGGAAGTTGGTAGAAAGAGTTCTTGAGCTCTGTTTTAAGAGCTCAAAAACAAGGGTAGGAAGAAGGAGATCATGAAACGTGAAGGAACTTAAATCTAACTAACAATAAACTTGCAGAGGGTGATACCCATTATCCTTACTACAGACGCTACTGGTGGGTGACGAATTATGGGTTTCACTGGAGAAACGTAACCCATTAACTACTACAAATTGCTGCAATAGCAATAGTAACTTGCCACGCTTTTTCTTAAATCATAGGAAATCCCACATTTAAAAAAAAAAATAACCATGGGCTTTTTTTTTTTTACTGAAAAATACTATAGCCACGGTTTTCAAAATATGTTTTTCTCACGATTCATGTAGCCATGTTTTTTCACAACGGTCGGTAGGGCACTCTTCCAAGTTTGCAAACCGTGGCTATTGAACAAAGCAAACCGTGCCTCCATGCATGTTTGGTTATAGTGATTGGAATGTGGCTCTAAAAGCATAGGAGTATCATGGGGTCCAAATCGGGGAGAGAGAAACTTGGGCAAGAGATTTGTGCAAGCAAGTTGGAAATGGTGGTAAGAGTGAGGGTCTGAGCAACCACGACGAGGGAAGGAAGGAGTTGTTTGAGAGAGTGAGAATGTTGGGGAAGCAGATGAAAGCTGTGCTGGACATTTGTGGTGGGTTCCATGAGCTAGAAAATAAACAACTTTTGTGAAAAATAAACGTGAGGTGATGCTTTGATTTTTATAGTTCATCATTATTTTTTTCCATCACCTCATAATATAATAATATAATTATTCAGTGATCTTTAAAAAATAATTCACCACTAAATTTACATTTTACATGTACCTGCAATAAATATCAAGGTTTTAAAAACTGAATCAATCATTAAATCAGACGAGGCACTGATTCACAGTTCATTGGTCGAACTGCAATCTAACCAGGGTCAAACCGGTTAACATTAAATTAATATATTTTTAATTTATGTATCATAATTAAATAAGAAATACATTTAAATATGTATTTTTTTCAAAAATAAATTATAAATGCTTGGTAATATAATTTATTATTGATAAATACATAATTAATATTAATTATAAGTGAAGCTTTTCATTTAAATATCAAGAAAGATGTATTTTAATTTTAATTTATTTTTTTATTTTTTAACTTTTGTCCAGTTTTCTCATGAAAATTGATCCGGTTTTTATCCGATTTTATCGATTGTTAACCGACTCCATAATGATTAGTTTTTAAGGGGTCAACCGAACCGGACCACGAGCCGGTTTCCGGTTCAACCGATTGAACTGGCCAGTTCAATTTTTAAAACCTTGATAAACATTTCACAGCGACACTAAGGTGGGGATGATATTTTGGAGTCAATAAGAGGAATATCACCCCTTTTTTCGTTTTAAATATAAAACTATATTTGGGTGCTGTCTGAATAATTTTTTAATGTAGGCAACATGTCATTAATTGGACAAGCACAAAACGAGTAAGAATAAAAGATTCAATGAATATATATGCGGGAGTACAAGTGGAAAATAGCTGGATGGGCCGAGCTTATAAAGGTCAAGCTTTTAAGCTCAATTTTTTTTAAATTATTTTTTTTAAGCTTGATTGTTATTAAAAGGATTAAGGGTTGAGCCTATAGGCCTATAAGCATTTTATGATTATTTTTTATTTTTTAAAATTAAAAAATTTAATTATAACATTTTACATTTTTTAAAAATACAAATTATAATATTAAAAAATTAAAAATAAATAATAAAAAATTATATTTTAAAGTATAATCATATATTTTAAAATTTAAATTCAGTTTAAAAATAAATCTATTTGATATTTAAGAGTTAAAATGAAAAAGAACCTAAAAGGATTGTGTGCCAACCAAAGTTCATTTTTTCAAAACTTATTAAAACTAAGCTTCAAAACTTGATTTTTGTTAAAAAGAAACAGAAATTTTTTTAAACCCAAACTTTTATAAAATTGAATTTAAATAGGGGTTAGGCTCGCCTTTATTCCCTATTCTATGTGTATGTGGAGGCATTTAGGCCTAACAGCAAGGTTCATATTATTCTGCTACGTATTTAGCGTCCTAGTCAAACAATATCCTACCCACCTTATATCACCAGGAACAAGAGCCACCAAAATATTCATTTTCATAATTATTTATTCAACAATCAACACCTACACACACGCACACGTAACTTTAATCTCTTCCCAAATTTCACTGTTAATTATTAGCTCTAACGTCTTGGTTTAGTTATTCATATTAATTATTAGGATTAATATGTTACGTACCTGATCCTGGAAGGAATTGTAGGCTTGAGATGATCTTCTCCTCGGACTTCTTCTCCCCTTCATTCTGCTTCTTCCACCCATCAATCCTGCCAACTTTACACCGTCAACTTTCGGCTAACAACTAGCATTTAACCAAACAGCCTAAACGGAAGAGGCATACATTTAAGACGAAAAACGCGCACGTTCAGATCTCAATTAAATTTCTTGGCCCAAGAAAAGAATCAGAATTTTGACTCTGAATAATGAATAGTAAAGTTTACATGTGTACAGAAAAGTGACGACTCCTTTGTCCATTATATACATGCGCGCGCGCGCGGGCGGCAAGAAAAGTTTCTCTGTGACGTCCCGTTCGATCTTTTGGGATCTCCCCATCTATCCTTTTTTTTTTTTAATCAACTTTTTTCATTTCTTCTATATTTTTTAGCTAACTAACTTTTTCGGCCAACATAGTAAATACTAAATACAGTAACTGTATCTTTTGTATTTTTATTTTATATACTCATCACGCGCGCGCCGCGCGCTATGTATATCCGTATATATAATTAATATATATATATATAGTATTTAGTTTTTAAAATATTTTAAATGTATTATATATATAATTACAAGCGTTTCCATTGCACTAAACAAATTTTCGAAAAAAGAAAAGAAAAGTGATAGTATTACTACATCCCTCATTTAATAACTTAAAGATATAATAATAATAATAATAATAATAATAATAAGTCTAGAGAAAATAAGAAAAATATTTTTAATAAGTAATGTAAAATAAAATTTTTCCCAGCGAAAATAATAAAATAGAGCGAATGATTTTTTTTTTTTTACAAATATTGATCCGCTGGTTGTTTTCAAAAAATATAAAAAATTCAAATTAATAACCCCTTTTACACTAGAGAAATGAAGATGGTAAGTCCTGTTTGGTTTCATGGTCTGGGAGTTGTGTTGTACTGTAGGGTTAGAAACCGTCCGACACTTCGCACGCCCCCAACCAAGCAGCACCGATGCAACAAAAACAACCGGTTTCACCCGATCCCGGAAGCGCGCAAATTTCTTGGAATGTGGAGCCAAACGCGGCGTTCAACATCTCCGTCCAAAGGGACCGAGAGACAGAAGGATAAATGAGAGAGGAGCGCTAAGATTACCTGAATCAGCAGCGTTGACGGAGATGGTGCGGCGGGGATTCAGATCCGAAGTGGACTCCGAGGCGTCAAGCAAGCGAGGGCGGAGGCGGTGGAATGAGCGAGAGCTGTTTTCCAGCATTGCGGTGACGAAGGAAGCTTCTATGGAGTTCAGGAACTGCACGTGCTTCTCGTCCGTCCAAAACGACGCAGTTTCAGCAGCCGTGGCGGGATAGTTCTCGTCCTGCGACTCCATCGACGAGGATGAAAACGGAGAGATTACGGCTCAAAGCGAGCGACGGAAGGCGGAGAGCGTGAGGATAGAAGAATGAGAAAGAGGTAAGAGTCGCAAATGGAAGAGAATTAATTAAATGACGATTTTAACCCGCGATCCGTTTGGCGTAGATATTTTGAGCATCTGATTGATTGATGGATATGGCATCCAGGGAAAACAATAGTTTGCCTCTAGGGTTTGGATCGATGATACATGATTTAAGGGGAAATGGGTTTGGAAAATGGGGGAGGAAGGACTTAGGAGGCACTAATGAAAAGTCAAGTCACGATCAAAGAAGTGGAAATATCTGGGGCGTCTGGGGAAGGGCGAGTGAGGGAGGAGTATTGAATTACATCTGGCTGGGTGGAGAACAGGGACCGCTGGGTGTTAGATATTTTATGGTGAGAATCATTCTTTATTCCTTTTTTTCTTTTTCTGAGTTGTGAAGATATCAATCCAACCCCTCCATCGACCATCACCAATCACATCTCTACAGTCCCCTGCCCAAAGGTTACCCCCGCCTACCGTCAATTATTACTCCCTCTACCCCTACCTCTTCACCTTAACGCCGCCTCTCGGGTGTCATTACTTATTATCGGATTACCCTATTACCCTCTCCGTTTTAAATTACGTACACGTATATAAGTAAAATACAATTATAATACTTTATAATTTTTTTATTATAAATTTTCAAAAATTTTTATGCACGCTCAAAAATTATTTAAATTTTTTTATTTGAAGAGTTATATTAAAAATGTATAGTCAATAAAATCTTATTCTTCTCACATTGTTTTATATTTTAAAACAATAAAATTTTTTATAGTTATCTTATAATTTAATATGGAGGAAATATTAACTAATTTATATTTCTTTTAAAAAAATTGATTAAAATCTTGATTTTTAAAATTTTTCTTACATATTTTCAATTGTGTCGTAATATTTAATTTATTTAAAACACTCTCATTAATTATTCAATAAAATAAGGGTGTAATTGAAAAAATATATATAAATCTGCCCAATGCCTTGTTTTTGGATTAAGTAAAGTTTTTAGAAAACAATTTATATTATGATCTAAAAAGAGTAAATAGTAAATTTTCTTTAAAACTGCGGGTCTTGGAGCATTTAAAACCTAAATTTATTTTTAATATAATATCTCCATTTAATATTTAAAAATGATATAATATTGCTCCTATTATTAACAAAAATTAACTTTGATTGTTAGCTAATAAGAGAATAATAGAAAAAGAACTTACAAATTACCAAAAAAAGGACAAAAAATCATAAATTTTTTTATATAATACTTATTTGCAAATTTTTTATATCATTTTCTATTATTTTTTTTAGAGCTGGGAATTCGGGCGGGCCGGGCTTATTCGGGCTCGGCCCGAATAGGCCCAGCCCGAATAGGCCCGAACCCGAACAAGCCCGTTTTTTTAAAAAGCCCGAATGACTAAGCCCGGCCCGAATACCCGAATTTTATTTTTAAAATTATTTTTAATTAATTTTTTTACTTTAAAATTAATTATTTTATTTTATAAAAAAATATAAAATATATATTTTTAATACTTAAATGATGTTTAGGACTCAAATATATGATATTTTAGTATAAAATAACCTAAAAATTAAAGAATTAATTAATATTTATTATATATTATATATTTTTAAAAATAAAAATAAAATTACTCGGGTATTCGGGCCAAGCCCGAACCCGAATCGGGCTTGGCCCGAAATTTTTCGGGCTAATTCCGGCTAGCCCGTCGGGCTCGGCCCGAATTACCAGCTCTAATTTTTTTATTAATGAACGATCAATGTTAATTTTAATTAACAGTAAATGTGATGTTACATTGTTTTTAAATTTGGAAAGAAAACATTATGTAAAAAAATAAGTTCAAATTTATAAATGCTCCTAAATCTATAATTTAAAGATAAAATTATCCTCTAGCCCTTATTTACTCCTTTCATTCAAAGATATAAAGTATTTTTTAAGGGGTTGGATGTTAAAAAATGTAAGATATTTTTTATTTTTTGAAGTGTAATCATTATCTTTTTTTAAAGTGCCCTATTGAATAAATTACTTTATATTTATTTTAGGATATTTATAGGAATAAATATACAAACTAAAGTTAGTTTACAAATAAATAACTATTTTATTAGGGATGGAATTCGGTTAATAATAATTTATATTTTTTAATAGAGGGAGTATAAGATAGAGAAGGTTTTTCTTTTCCAATTTATAATGTATGTTATTGATTTTTTTATCATATATTTCTAAAATTTTATAATCAAAGTATATATATTTAATAAAGATAAAAAATTTTATTTAAGTTCTTAAGAGATGAATGATTTGTAATTAGAACTTGAGAGGGAGTATATAATTACAAAATAAAAAAAATTATCCCTTTCATCCCTTTTTATAACAAACAATTGACATTATTTATTTTAAATTTAAACGTAATAAATAGCTAGCTATTATTTTATGAATTTATTGAAAATTTTATTTTTAATCCTTATTAAACAAAATAACTATCATTATTTATTAAATACACAACCACCATAACAATTAATGAGTTTTTTAGAAAAAAATCTTAAATATATTTATTTATATCTTGACTTTTTTTCTATGTATAAAATTTGTATCTTGACTTATGTGATCTACTCTCTCCTGACTAAAATATAAAGAATTGATAATTGATTCACAATTTTAAAAAAATATTAGTTAAAATCCTAATTTTTTAAAATTTTTTACATCATTGCAACTATACCTGCATTAAATTTTTTATATAAGAGCTTTAATAATAATAATTAAAATTTTAATGCATTAATTTTTTTTAAAAAATAAATGAAATAGGAATATAGTTAAAAAAATAATTATAAAAGTTACTCATACTTTATATTTTAGATTAAATAATATATCTAAAAAATGCCTTATAGTATGATCTAGACAAATTGTTTGTTTTTTGTTGAAGGACATGGGTAAAAAAGTAATATCAACATCAATATATTTATAATAATAATAATAATAATAATATTTGGGATTATATACAGCTTATAACAGGGTATAATTATAACAGGGTATAATGCTGAATAGATACAGCTACGCACCATTTTGGTTCTCCTTATTCCCGAGGCAAAGAAGTTTAGGTCACATTTGGTTAATAAAAAAGAAAATAATAAAAATAAATGGAATAATAAAAAATATAAAGGAATGAAATCACCGTAACTATAAATTTATTTGATAGAATATTTAAATAGATAAAAATAAAATTTATTTATATTATTTATTTAAATATAAATTAAAATAAATAGGTCATAACTATATTATTTCTTGCATTAATGCATTTGCCTTCTTTCCTTTTTTTTCAAAAGTTTTCCAAAAGCTTTTAGTTTAAATTCTTACCCACATGCATAACATTCTTTAAAAAAATAAATTATTTTAAATTTAAATTTTACTCTATAAGAGAAAAACATTAAGGAAGATATGTAAAATATCATACACAGGGAATCAAATTTAAAATTTGACTAAATTCAAAAACTTGTTTAAAAAATATTTTTTTATAAGATTAAAAATATTCTAAAGAGAAAATAATAAATACAATTAAAACTAAAAATGTTATTAAATTTAATTTTTTAAGAAAAATTAACTTAAAAATATATAATTGACTACTGGCAAAAATGAAAAAAAATCAAGGGAAATAGGCTAGATATGTGAAAAGTTAACAAGGGCATTTTGATAAAAACATGTTGAATTCAAGGTGGGTAACATGATTCCTCTCATTTTTTCAAAAGCTTGCCCAATCTTAAAAATATGATAGTCCATATTTTTGGGAATGGTCATTTCTTGTCACTTATAAACAACCAACATAGATAAGATTGGAATAGAGATATGATTATCATTTTATAAGCCAAAATTTGTATAACCAAAGGTGACCTTGTTCCCTTGCAGATATAACCAAAATTTTTACACCAATCCTGTGACGAGTCCCTAGTTTTAGTTGCTTCTACATATTGGACAAAGTTGGTAGGAAATATGGGTTGATTTCTCACTATTAATTTTTTTTCTCTGTTATTTTTTAATATAAATTTAAACTGTTCAAGTTAAATTTATACTTTTAAAAATTATTAAATCTAAATCATAAAATTTAATTTAACAGTCTAAATTATAAGAGGAGAGCGAACTTTGGAAACATGACACAGTTATTTAAAAAATAATAATAATTACTAAAAAAAACCCTAAAATTTGAAAATACCCATTAAAGATTGGGCCTGGATTCCTCTTCGTGGAGAACTCGTGCCCGTAAAGATTTTTAATTAATGATACTATGAACCAAGTTTCATTTACTGGACAAACCACAGTTTTCTTCAAAAAAAGAAAGAAAGCTGAGGTGGAACAACTTGTAACATGTGGAAGTTTAGTAGACGCCTGTTTGAGAATAAAAAAATATTTAGAAACTATTTTCAATATTTATAACTAGAATCATAGAATGTGCAATTTTTTATAGGGTGGATAATGTTTATTTTTAAATATTTTCTTATTGAGCTTCTATCTTAAACAAGGGAGATGTTTATTTTGTTTCAATCACGTTTTTTACTTTTAAACACCATTGTGCTTTCAACTACCGTGCTCTTTGGTTGGCATATTTAATTTTTTAGATCTTTAACTGTCATTAATATTTAAAAAGTTCTAAAATATCATTTTCACAAGTCAAAAAGTTAGCTCCTTAACAACTTCATATATTACATGGGATAAGGGCTTTTCTTGGTCAGATTTCTTCTATGCGTTTTGTTGTCTATATTTAGACATGTCAATGCCACATTGCCATCACACCTGACAAGAACGCAAACCATTTTTTCTGCATAAATTTCCTCCGCACTTGTTAAGCCCATTTACAATTTTTCATAATTTTTTTTTCACATGTACCTTCTCATAAAAAACAAATAGTAATTGAAATAACTATAATCATTTGAAAATTTTATCTCAAGAAAAGTTCTCATTTAATCATTTAAATATATTTCTTATCTCATTCCATATTTTTAGTTCTACTTATGAGTAAGGAGGCAGAGAGCTTATTTTCAGTTTTCCAAAACAGAATAAAAAATAAAAATAAAAATATTCTCAATGCTATAGGGAATATTCAGTCACCATGGTAGAAACTTATAATAAATGAATAGAAAGTAGAGGAAGAAAGAGAAAATGAGTAAAGATAAGGGTGAGGGAGCCCTGTAGAATCAGAATCCAATCTAGAAAGAAAGAGAATCTCACAGAATTACTGAATAATTATTTATTCATGCTCATAATAATTCATAATAAGTATTTATAATCTACAACAACAATAACTTCCCTATCCCTAATACAAACCGACAACAACTAACTTAGGACACTTGTAATCGCCAACATAAGACACATGGTAAATATATAAAATACAAATAACATGATAATTACTGACAATAACTAACTTAGGACACCTGTAATCACCAACATAAGACACATGGTAAATATATAAAACACAAATAACATGACAATAAGGTTCTGGTACACTAAATTGACTCTTCATTATAAATAGGACTACCTAGCCTTTCCCTAGAATAAACTAGCAAAGGAAGATGGCTCCTAAGTCCTAACACACCAGCAACCAGAATAGAGTAAAATATACATCCACACGATAATGCATATAAACTCTTGTCAATAAAGGGGGAAAATCTTGGATACAATTTCTCAAGTGTTGGCTATACAGGAGGGAGACAATCAGGACACAAGCTATCAACTATATAAAATATTCAAGCACCCATCTATATCATTTTATAGCCACGCAAACAATGCCCATACCCACAAACAAATTCCCTAAAAACTCTGACTTATAAGTTCATGTCAGGACCCATCACATTTAGCATATTACAAGATTGTGTAGGATCGTGCCGGTTTGGATGATCAATAATCATTGTGGATGAAGAATGAAAGCCTACACTTTGTACCTAGAATACAAGTGATTCGTACAGTTATTTCTTATCCACAAAATAAAAGAAAAGACCCAAAATAAGGGAGTGGGCTTTATTTGCTGATCACCATCCCCAGAACAATTAGCTGGGGGCACTTAGCAAGTCTTCTTTCTTTCCATCAATGTCTATCCCTTTCACACTTGCACTCAGTGATGATGAGTCACAATTCTCCTTTTCACCAAGTTCAATATTACCATCTTCATCGCTTTCTTCCTCGAGTGCAGAACCCTTTTGCCGCAGCTCTTTGACTTTAAAAAATTCATCATAGTGAGCTTTTCTGTGTTCTTTGAACCTCAGGCTCCTATCTGTCCACGTGAGAATAGAGCAAGTAGCATGTCAATATAAAAGCATCAAACAGACTCACAATGGCTAATTTCTCCAGACAAATAAGTCTGGTTTTCAGGTATTCTGAATTTAACAGCAGCTGATAGCAACATGCTAATGGCCATTAGATATCCATTTTCTGACAGTGAACATTAATCCAAGAATACCAAATTTAATGATTTTCTATGGGCGATCCCCAGATTACATAGCAGATGGAATTGCTTGACTTAACTTCATGATCTTTTCAAACTTAAATCAATTCATGCTTGATTAAGGTTCTAAGATATGCGTATTAAACTATTTTAAGTATTTGTATAAACAAGTATTCATCATAATAGAACCATTTTAGATGAAGATCAACCCCGATAAAGATTCAAACTTTGAAGAAGGAATAATAAAGCTTCATTTTTTGACAAAATCAGATTATACACAAAGCAAATAAAAACCTTCATCATCTTGTTCCACTGCATCTGATTCATCCTCAGATGATGTCCAGCCACTAGATCGACCAATTCTGTTTCTGCTACAAGAGGCCCCATCTTCAGCTCCCACTACCACATTATCATTGTCAATACACGAATTAAAGCTTCCTTGAAGAGATGATGAAGAATCTACAAAGTTAAAGCATTAAGGTGATAAGCAGCTGTGCATAGGACCCAGAACACAGAGCTTAAAAAAAAAAAAAAGCACAGATATGGATCTTCATCTAGCTACATAAACAAACAAATAGATCAATACGCTTTAGCATTTAGAAATCAGACCATGTAAAGGCCACAAAAAAAAAATGTAGTACTTGGCAGTAAGACTTTATTGGAAAATACTCATTACCAGAACAATTAATGCAATGCCAGATTTAAAAATACTGTTAACTTGCCAAAATAAAAGCAATACATTGTTTCTATAAGTATACAAGCAGATACATACAATTATGAATGGACTTAATCCAATATGTGCTAGAAGATGTTGAAGAAGCATTCAGTCTAAGTGTTCTAGTGATCTGTACATACCATCATCATCAATCATAGGATGATATGGAGTCTTGGGCTCAGTAATTTTCTGCCTCACAGGTTTGTTTGCCTCAATTTCTTCAATGTTAGCCTCATCCCATGTTACACGGCCTCTGTTTTGCGATAACAAATGAAAGATTCATAATATTAAGAATATGTGAACCATCCTTATAAACAAAAAACTTTATAAATAAAAAGCTATGCAGGATTCCATTCCCCATTTTCTATAATCTAGAAAAGTTCACCATGTCTTAAAATTGCTAAAGGATAAGACAACTTTGACGTGCATTTACTTTCTAAATCACTTCTGAAGAGATTTGAATGACAAAGTTTGGAGTCTTAGAAAGCCTAGGATATTTCCACAAGTATATCTGAGAGAACTGAGGAAACCTTCTACTAGAAATCACTATACCAGGTTAGTTACAGCCTCTTCTATAGAGAAAGGACGAGGAAAAAGGGCTATTGCAACTAATTATAGCTGTTACAGTGAATAAATCCAGAAAATAGCAGCAGAGTTGTAAACGAACAAGGAGCAAAATAGAACAGTGTCAAGCTACTCCCTTGACGTTTGAGAGGTCAGGCCTCTCCCATGAACCAACCAAAAGAATCCCCCCTTTCCTTAGGGCACACAACCCTAGATAACAGTCTAACCCTTGCCCTCATTGGGCCTTGGGCCAGCATCAGATCCTATTTCTGTACCTTTCTCCTTGGGTAGCTTAGTGGCCCTCTTTCTCTCATAAACACAGCCCGCTTGGATGTTGGGCTTATCAATATCATACAGCAATGCATTCATCCTAGGCTATTTGGTTGACATTTTGTACCAGCATTCACTCAGCTACGAATTCTTTAACAATCTAAAATGCTAGAAGTTGTCTCTGAAAGCACATCTTCCTGCTATCAAAACCCCAATGAACTTACCAGACCATTGACCATAACATTGACAATACTTCTGACATCCAATATGATTTAACACCAACTGTATAACCAGGGAAATGACAGATAGTAACTCTCCCTAAAAGCAGCATACACAAATAAGCTTACCAACCAATCATATTTTATCATTGTTCTCACAATCTCTCCCATTATCAGCAGTACCAATTCTAGACCAAAAACTCAAAAGTTTATTTATAAACTTTATTTGACTTCAATAACTGATTTCATCCTCAGAAAATCACTGGAACAATAAAACTGTAGTGTTCTCCAACTTACAGAATAATATGGTCCTGCCAAATTAAGGCTACTTAGGACCATTTGCTGAATCTTGGCTGACTAAGAAAAGTACAGGTCCATATAACAAACCACTAAGACCCAATAAATCATGTACCTTTCCTGTTCTACATTTGCAATCAGTCTTTTAAGTGAAAATACAATGCAGTCTCTTTTTGCTTCAAACAGAAACAAATAGAAAGCAACAAAGTCAGCACTACAAAATTGTTTTCATATTCATGATATGCACGCTGTAAACATAAGTTTATGTATTTTCAAGAGTCAGTCTTCAACAAGAAAGTGTGAAAAAAAATTGCAAACCATTGGAAGGTACAAGTAATCTATCTAAAAGACTTATCAATTTATTGCTTAACAGTATACAACCTTAAATAATATGGACCTTTCTGATTTAAGTCATTTAAGCAGTTTCTTCAGAAAGAAATAAGCCAACTAATAAAAAACAGATTCCTTGCATTACTTCATTTTGCTAGATGGATGAACTCTTCAAACACGATGAGCATGCAAATCAATCTCCATGTGGCTAGGACAACTGAAAAAACACAAGAAGTTCAATCCTTAAGTTCTTAAACTTCAAAAGCACATATTTGGTGGGGAAACAAAAGAGAAACGATGGGGATAAAAAGGCAGGTAAATGCTATAAATAAATTCAGAGACAATGTGAACTTAGATTTGATAAAGAATCAAAAGGAAAACATAGAGGAAGCAACCATGGGAAAAGACAAAATCTGGTGCTGCCGTCTAATATAGGTTCTTAAACAGATATGCCACCATGATGATGATGCAAAACGTTGGTTGATCACATCATTAGCAAGGCCATCATAATTATAAGCAATGGCTAATGTTTACAAGTGAGTGTCTATGTGACTGCATCAACTAAACTAATCGTCAATGTGTGTGTGTGTGTAAGTAGCTAAGCCATATTGCTCAGAGAGTTGTGAATAGTATCACTTTCAATTTTAAGTTGGATGCAGAATCAGGGACGATAACTAATGTTTACAATTCCAGCCATCATAATTATAAACGATGCTCCCTTTGGTATAAGCTTCCACAATTCTGTATGATCATATAACTAACTCAAAGGTTTTTGTGGTCCGGTTTGAAATGAATCTGAACCTCCAAATCATGTTTGGATTGATCTAAATGTTTCTATAACAATAAACTGATAGTCTGAATCAATTCACACTCAAAACCTAATCCTCTGAGAAATGAACATTTCAATGAAAGCCATATTTTTTTGCCCCTGAATTGAAAAAGAAAAAGAAATGACTCCACGAGCAAGAAGCAAATGCATAATAATGTTAAAAATGCAAAGTAATCAGATCCAGCTTCAAGACTTTTGAATCCAGCTACAACAATAGCAAATAATGAACGGAGATCCATGAATCTAAAGCATTGATTCTAGTGAATTTCAGAGGCAAAAAGTAAATATAATTGATCATTGACTTGTTGTGAGAGTCTTGCAAGGAAATGGAATATTAAATCAAACAAAAAATCCAGATCCCCGATCAAACTAGAACGATAATTTGAAAGACACGCTATCAAGTTCGCAATATTGGAGTCTATCCCGTGGTCCAACCCACTTCGAAGGGAAAACCAACATTCAATTTTGCTGCAGTTTCACCGAGGAACAAGAGGCGAGAAGGAATGGAGAATCCAAATTGGTCGCTAAGAAAAGAAAACGATTGGAAAAACTGATATAGAATATTGCCAGGTTTAGGTGGAATTGGTCGAACTGCTCAATAAGCAGCAATTTCAAGCGTCAGAATTCTTCGCCGCGATTGAGAATTTTATAGTTCCAATACTGCCCTCCTGCTTCCCGGTTAAATATCCTATTTTATTTCGACCATTGAAACGGGGGATTCACGCTGTCCCTCTGATCGTGGTGGTCCTAATGAAACTAGAAGCTGACCAAAAAAAAAAAAAAACAAAAACAAAGAAAGAAAGTCCAAGAAGGCGAGAACCATTTATTTAAAAGATTCTTGAATTAGCTATGATATGAAGGCCGAAAATTATTGAAATGAGAATAAGTTTTAACAGCTAATAATGAAAATGACCCTCGTTTTAACCAAAAAAAAAAAAAAATCAGAACCTGCCTAAAAGAAAAAGAACGGAAGAAAACTTTCACAATTCAAAAAGAATTTAAAAAAATTTTAACTTTAAATTCTTGTACTTTATTTAAATTTTGTTATGATATTTGTATTTTTTTTAAATGTGTGGGATTTAAAATATTAAAAAAAATAAGAATTTAAAATATTAAAAAAAATATAAGAACTCAAAGTTAGGTTTTTTTTAACAAAATTTCATTAGGTTTTTTCTAAAAAAATTTCTCTTTAGCTTGTGAGCATTGGTGGAAAGAAGCATGATAAAAGGAAGAAGATAATGAAGACATGGATGGAAAAAAATGCTAAAAAAGAAGAGAAAGAGAATGAAAGCAGTAGATGATGAGAAAAATAGAGAAGAGGGAAAAAAATCAAAACACAAGAAAAAAAAAAATACTTTACGTACATGTGTGCGCATTGACAATGTAAAATACTGGAAAAAAGTCCCATAGGCATCCAATAAAATTGGAATAATACATAGGAGATTAGTATGGCCACTGTGCAATAATGACGCCCACAAATTGAGAAAAAATATTGAAAAAAAAGACGTGCTAAAATATAAAATTTTTACTTTTTTGCTAAAAATTTTTTATTAAATTTCACCTCCTAATAAAGTAATTATTTATTTTTAAACTAACACTATCTTTTTAAATGTACCCCTATTTAATAAGATATTTTATCCTAAAATAAATATAAAATAATTTATTTAATAGGGGCATCTTTTTTAAAAAGGCAATAATTATGCCTTAAAATAATAAAAATGCGTTACATTTTTAAACATCCAATCCCTCAAAAAAATGCTTTACATTGTTGAAAAGAGGAAGGATCAATTTCCCTGTTTTCTATTACTATTGTATTTGTATAATAATATAATGTTTAAAATTGATACACAAGTATCAAATGTTTAATATATTCATATATGTGTTTGGGCTAAAATATGAAATATTGCTTGGTAGGTTATAAAGATATTTAGATTGTGTTACAGAAGAGTCAGGCCCAATCTGAATGAAAGGGTTGGCCCCAAGTTTAATAGAAGACCACGATAGGGTGAACATGCCAAAATCTTGCCAGTTGCAAACATTGTATTATTAGCACATAAAGACATGATCCCAAGTGATCACGAAATCTACGAGAGCAGTATCATCATGCCTAGATATCTCAGTGAGATGGGCTGGTTGTCAAAAATAGAGAATATTGAGTAAAAACTATGTCATGAGTTTTGTGGGATTCATGATTCTTTGGCAGAACATTCTAAGTTTTAAAGGAGAGTCTACTATCACTCTGACACTATAAATATAATACAAAAACACAAAAGAAAGATAGTCAACACTTAATAAAGACTCGCATTCTGCACTCATAACTTTTTAGTTTTAATAATTAGTGGTCGTGGGATCGGCGACAATGGCTGTTTAAGGTTTCTAAGGCCTTTTAGATCCCCCAATCTCAATGGCTCCTGCTGAGCTAATAGAGGAACTACCTTTAGGGCCTTGGTAAAGGCAGTCTCCCAAACTTTATTGGCCCCAAGCCCTGAGTCCCCATTCCGGGGTTATAGTAGAAACGCCCTCTAGGTTAGTAATAGCCCCAAGACCTTCTAAGTCACCGGCACCATCAATGGCCGCGACAAGCATGGCTTCCGAAACCTCAACAGCAACTACAGGATCTCCTATGCTCCCCACCACCTTGCGGGCTACCTTACGAGCAATCTCTATAGGGTCCTTAGGGACTGCCTCAGGAATTGCAATAAAGGTAACCCTTTGGGAACCCACAATTGCCATAGGAATAACAAATATGACCACTTGAGGATCCGGCGTTAGCTCAAGTGTGATAGTGGAAGTAACTACCTGAGGGTTTGGAGTTTGAGCTTTTACCCCTCTACGGTGTAGGGGACTTATCCTGCTGTCATCAGAGTCATCGGACAGGATAATGGTCCGTTAATGCTTATGCATGTGCTTTCCCTTTTAGGGATAGGTCCAGCCGAAGAAGGTATGGAGGAAGGTTGATTAGTGAGAAGGGGTGTTGTCTTCTTTCTTCTCTTAGAGTCAGGTGAAGGAGATAGAGCCCGCTTCCTCTTATCAGGTCCATCTCCTTTATCCGTGCGGCTTAAGGTGACTCTTCCTAGATCCATGCTTCTTTGGGAGACATGAGAGGTTGCATCATCCCTCTCAATCTCTTTAACTACGGACCTTAATGAAGGGGCCGTCTAGGTCTCCGAAGCAATAAGATTGTCAATGTTTCCCCTCAAGAAATTCATCAGCACATGCGATTGTATCCAATTACAGCCTATAAAGATTCAAAACAGGTCAAACTATGTCAAAAAGCGAAAAGAAAAAACATAGAAAACAACACTTACTGGTATGGCTCTTTATTATGCGCTTAAAGTGCTAGGGCCACTATTTGTTGAAATAAAGGCAAGCAACACGGTCTACCAGTCCCATCTTGCACTGCTTTTAGGTAGTGTGTGGAATGGCTATGTGATTAATAGCCTCTCAATCCAGTAACTCTATGCTAATTTGGAGGTCAACCTAAACTGGCCTGCTACCAGGTAGGGTTAATATGACTCCAAGCAAACCTTCAAGGATTTAGAGGAAAAGTCAGTGTATGGCATCCACTTTTTTCTGGGAGTAGTGGCTGAGAGGAAAACCTCATCCCTTAACAATAAGGAAGGCTTGTTCTTTTGGTCCACCAAGTGCTTGTACCAGGTAGGAAGGCGACGGTCTAAAATGTTAAAGGGCTTTAAGGTCTTTCGTAAGGACCAGCTCTACCCACGAAGAACTCAAAGAAGTTCTTCGATTCATCCAGAGGATGACCACCTAATAAGCAAGTGAAAGGGTGATTGGTATGAGAGTTTTCATGGAAAGGTTCCTAACGGAGCAGAGGGAAGTATGCGGTCGTTCATAACTTCAAGAACTAAACAGGCTCGTGGAAGTTGCTAAAGGGCTTCTTCATTAGGGAATTCCTCATGTCGTCATATAGACGATATAACATCCTTAATTTTAAATTAAGATTAATTAAGTTCAATTAGACTAAATAAGTGTATTAGTGAGGTGTATGGCCAGAGAGGCTTAACTTGGTATAATTGTTGTGAATTTAGCCCTAAAAGTGGGTCCAAATTGATAGCGAGCTACCCGGGCAAGGAAAGAGGAAGAAAAAGTGAAGGTTTCCTCTCTACGTCACATGCCATGGTGTGTGGTCAATCCGCCATGGTGCACAGAGCCAGATTTGAATCTAACGGGCTCCTCTGCGCTATGTACCGTAGTGGAGGGCCAAAATTCTAATATATTAACTTTGAATCTGCGTGAGAGAAAGAGAGAAGAGGAAGACAGAAATAAAGAAACGAAAGAGTAGTGCTAGGGCTTGGGAGAACTAAATATTAGGAGTATTTTGAAGGTCCTAAACATCAATGGTAAGCTTTCTTATTTAAATCTTCCTCTCTTCTTCTATTTTCTCGAAGGTAAAGGTTAGGATTTGATTATTAATGGTGATTTTTGATTCATAGAAGCTATGAGTCCAAACCCATTGATTTAAATTAAGTTAATGGGAGTAGATTGAGCTACATAAACTGGTATTAATGGTTTTATGATGATTGGTGGTTTGAAGACATTAAATGTCTGAAATTCTCATAAATTTAGTGGTTAGGAATAATGTGATTTCATTAACAACCATTTAAGACCTCAATGTTATTAATGAGAGTTAATGGAAGCTAAGAAGCCTTAGGGGTAATTTTACATGAGTTAAGAATAAATCTTGAGTATTAAGAAATGATGAAATGTTAGTGAAAAATAGCTCAAAAATGGATATTGATGTTTTTCATGGTAAATGCTTGTAAAGTAACTACCATTGGCACCATTCAAGCTTCTTGGAAGCTTTCGGAGTGAGTAATTGAGGGGGTGAAATTTTTGACCTCTCAAAGGTTTGAGATAACTGGATAAATTCTATCTTATGCTTTTGTGTATTTATTAGTTTATGGATTTTATGATTTATCATTGAAATGTATAAATTTTAAAAAAAATGCAAGTGTGGCTTGATTTGTTAGAAAATCTACTAAATCAAATTGTGAATTTTATGCCTTATGATGTAAAATTTCTTGGAGAACAATATCGATGGATTTTTGTATTTTGTTATTAGGAGTTCAATGATTTTATGAATTGAGAAGTAACATGAATCTTTATTTATGAGAAGTTCTATGATGTTTAAAATAGTGGAGTTCAATTATTTTGAAGGTATGAAGTACAATGATTGTGAAGTTGGAGTTCAATGACTTATTGAGTTTGAAGTTTCATGGAAATGTGTTTTAAGAAATCTAATGATTTATGTAATGATAAGGTTCAATAAAAATTAAAAATGTGAAGTTTTATGAACTGTATATATGTGAATTATGGCATGAATGTACATTGCATGATTTTGAGAGGCAGGAGTTTGCTTAGGAAGAGGATTAGATGATAAAATCCATATGGTAGGGCCTATTTGTGAGATGGTTTGTCGGATTGATTATATCTATATTATCCCACTAAGTCAACGAGGGACTGTCCCACTAGTTCAACGAGGGATTGTCCCATTAGTTCAACGAGGGATTCAAACCTAGCTAACTATCCATCGGTTCAATAAGGAGCCTTGTTTAGGGTATATAACATCCCATAGTGTGAGAAATAGGGGAAACCATATTTCATAAGTGAGTTGGGTGCGCTTTGACCAGATAATCCCCTCACAAGTGTTTAGGTTAGGAAAGTCAAGGAATATAGACTATCCCATTGAGTTATAACCCACGGTTTCATGTTAGAGCAATAAGGAGGATATAAGGGAGGTGTGATCATGCATATAATGAGTAAAAGCACCTTTTGTCTATGTGGTATCCCTAATGATGATATCATGAGTTAAGTTTTAATTCTTTCAATGTATTTGTTGATGAATTGTGTGACCAACTCTCTTTATATGAAAAGCTCTAAAAAATATTGTTTCTCAAATTAATGCTATTATGTGAGCAGAATTGTGAATATCTATTTTCAAATGTTTTACATGGGTTAAAGCATTAACATTAACTACCACTTGCATTTAAACTAATTGACATGCATTATTATGGGTTAGTCGGACCTTGGTTACTGAGTAGTTATACTCATCCTATTATCTTTAATATTACAGGGAATAGTTCAAGAGGTGTGGATAAAGAAAAACATCAAGAGGCTTAAGACCACGATCCTTTTGTAGTAGGCCTTTTTATTTTGAGTAAACTTATGTGTATGATAATTTTCATTGTCAATTAGGAATTCTCATTTATTTTTTACTTGCATCATGTGAATTGTAAATTATAAGTGTATTTTGGACACTAGGGAGTGAGTTGATGAATATGTGTTATTATGATAGGGCTAAAATATTAATGTAAGTAAGAATATATCATATTATGAGACGATTTAGGAGAACTTAATGAAAATCGTGGTAAACTCCCCCTTTTTATGTTTTAGAGGTTAAGAGGTTGAGTAATAAAAATTTAATCTAAAAATATTTCATATGATATGGTGCATTGCAAGAGTCAGTCTTAATGATTTGTATGTGGTCAAATTGATGTCGGTGGCTATTGACCCTTGGTATTTGGTTTGGGCACTTGATTTTGTGAAAATTATTGTAAAAGTATAAATTTTGAAAAGGGTGTCCAATTTTTGTTTTAAAAATAATTTGAGTTTAAGACTAATTCTATTAGTTAGAGCTCAAAAAGAGCTTTCGGTAGACACCTAGTTTGTATCATTCTGACATCAGACGAAAATTTGGGACACGTTAGAAGTTGGCCCTAATACTGTCAAATTGATAGCAGAATTCATTGTTAAAATTTGTGCAATTACGCCGCAGTGTGTGTCACAGAGGTGAACATGCCACGGCATTTGTTCAACAAGCCGCGGCACATGCCTAAAAAATTTTCAAAAATTTTCTTGTTTCAAATTCTTAAATAAATGCACTCACTTATGTAATGATCTCATGCTTTTGTATATTTATGAACTCTGATTTGTCTAATTGTAAGACTTGAAATGATATTTGTTTTATAAACTTGAGATCCTCATTTTGTTAACCAATGAAAACTTTATATTTTGATAGTTACTATAATCCCATTCTCTAATTACTTAGAATTTGGTTTTAATTATGGGATTAGAAAGAGGAGGATATTACACACGGCATAGAAACATGGTTATTTAGTTGCTATAGGGAAAGGATTGAGCAATCCGCAGGTAGAGTTGCATAGGCTTTCCTCCCCTTAGGGCCAGGATCCATTGGCAAAACAATGCTCTATAGGGGTGACGGGCTCGTCAGTTGGTTTTTTAGAGAACAGCTCCATGATCTTGGTATAGGAGCCAGCACCTCTAATCTTGCTTTCTAGGTCGACTAAGAGGGTAGAGTAAGAATCGTGCCTCTCAAGGATAGCATAGAAATTCCCCTCCCCGGTGATCGATAGCCCCAGATACATGAAGACGTCCTATAGTGTGATAGACATGGGACTCAGCTCGAACATGAAGGCATTGTAGCCTGGCACCCAAAAACTTAGAAGGGCTATCAGCAGGTTGATCGAAATGCGACATCAGCCAAGGAAAGTTGAATGAGGTCATAAAGACCCATCTCTTTTCACTGTTGTTCATAGGTCTGCTTCAAGCGTTTTACCAAGTTGGTCTAGGTGTGATGAGATTGGGGCCAATTCTAAAGCTTTTAGCAAGATGACTTGAGAAAAGGGCAAAGTCATTTAGGCCAGAATTAGGTTGTGAATTGAGGTTAGGGCATAGATTTGGTTGGGGAGGAGCAGTCACCTCAGATAGGTCAGAAGAGATAGTCAGATACTTGACGTTGCTTTTATTAGAGATTTGAAAACTTTAAGGAGAAGTACTGAAAAGACAATGAACAGTCAATATTTTCATCCCAGATAAAATAGAAGGACTAAAGACTAAAGAAAAGTAAGAAGCTTACTAGAAGGCAACGGAATCATGGAATGATAAATCCTCTTGTAATAGAAATAGAGAGATGTCCTAATCCAGAGGCAATATGAGTTTTAGCAATTGGATATGTATCGTCGTCAATCCTCCTAGCAAAGTAACGGGATTCCTAATGGTGCCTAGGGAATCAGGCAGACTTCTGATAGAAGTAGTAGATGGCGCAGCAACAAAGGTGGTGGCAACAGTATAGAAAGCCATTTTTGAGCAAAGGGAAGATTGGAGCAAGGGATGCAAAAGCTTAAATGACAAGAAATGGCAAGAGAAGTGACAAGAAAAACAAATAAGTTTATATTAACAAAGGGCGCTCAAAGACGAAGTGACGTTTCAGTTTTTTCGAACGTGCCACATGGCTTACATTATCAGCCACTAACATCTAGGGGGCATTATTTGGGCTAAAATATGACATGTCACTTGTAAAGCTATTTGGTTGAGTTACTGAAGAGTCAGGCCCAATCTAAACAAAAGGGCTAGCCTCGAGCTCAATAGAAGGCCACGATAGGGTGAACATGTCAAAATCCCATTAGCTACAAACATTGGACCATTGGCATATAAAGACACGATCTCAAGTGATCTCGAAATTTACAAGAGCAGTATCATCGTGCCTTAATATCTCGGTGAGACGATTTAGTTGCTAAAAATAGAGAATACTGAGTAAAGATCGTGCCATGAGTTTTGCCGAATCCCTGATTCTTCGGTAGAACGTTCTAGGTGTTAAAGGAAAGGCTACTATTACTTTGACACTATAAATAAAGTATGAAAACACAGAAGAAAGATAATCAATACTTAAGAAAGACTTACATTTTGTACTTATAACTTTTTAGGTTTAATAGTTAGTTTTTACCTTCAATTTAATCTCGTAATCTTTTTACATTTTAATAAAAATTAAAAACACTTGTTCTATCAAGTCTTGTGTATCTTTTATATTTGAGTGATCTGTGGTAAGGAAGCTCAAGACCCTTTTGTTATTAATTGAGACTCAACGTCTGTGACACGCTTGGATATTTGTTGTTCACACACGAATAATATAATATAAATATAAATATAAATATTTAGTTATTTACAAAATAATAAATATTTTTGTTATTTGCACATACTTTGAAGAATTACTATAATCACTATTCAGCCAGAAAACTATTCATATATGTGTGTGTATATATATATATATATATATTTTGCGCGTGTGTGTATATATATGTTGCGTTAGTATAAAATTGTGTGTTATAAGTTACAACATATTTTGACTTGCTTTACCTTTTTTTTTAAAATAAATTTTACTTCTCCTACACAGCTTGAAAAATTTAAAATTTTAATTATTTGAAATTTTTTTAAAGGAATGAGTATGAGAAAACATAAGGACATTAAAAAAGAATATATGTATTTGATGTATTTAGAATTTAGAAGTTGAATCAAAACCTTTGTAAAAATCTTATGAAAAAATTAAAATTTTTACAGATATAATCCATATTACAGGTCACGGCCCCATTTAACCAAAATGTTCTTAATGCTATTTTATATTTTAATGAGGTAATTATTTTGGTTATTCAAGTAATTAATTTTCGACCTTTCCTTAATTATACGTTACAACCCCGACAAAACACGATCTCGTGAGTGGCGGATCCATTTCTCTTCATCGACACGACGAACAAGCATCCCACACTCCGTCAGGCGCCGTCCACCGTTGTCAGCCCTGCGTGGTTGTTCTTTATCCGGTGAGATTGATTTGTTCAACCTGGCTTTGAATCTAGATTGGAAATTTTTTCCCTCGTCATCTGTTTTCTGAGTGGTTGTTCTTGTTTTGTTTTAAATTTGGCTTTGAATCTGGTCGTGTAATCGTTTGAATATTGAAGATTTTGAGCTTCGGAATATTTACAGATTGATTTAATTTTTTTGGCACTAGTTTTTGCTTGGATGGTGTGTAATTGGCCATTGTACTTCTGCCCTCTTCATTTTGATTACTAGCGAGTTGTATGATTGGGATTGTATTGTTTTGCAATGTTGGATTTGTTGTGTATTGGCATTCTGTTTATTAATCTTTTTATGTTATCATCAATTTAGAAAATTGTCAAGGCATTTGTCATGTATGATCTTGTAAATGACTTGGCTCGAGATGGTCAAAGTATCTGGAACAAAAATTAAAAGGGTATTATGTCAACTATGCATATTTCAAAGATTTCAGTGGGGGCAGAGCGTAATATAAGCCCGCATATGGCTATCTGTATCATGAAAGTGGGATTCAAATTGTGCAGGGATTGCCACTAAGATCAAGTATAGAATACTTGATCAACTATCTGCAGAGTAAAATCGTTTGATTGCAAATAATCTACTTTTTTTGTGGTAAAGTTGAATCTAGTTGTTGGGGCACTATCAAGTTGTGCATATGAATTTGCTAATATGACACTTAAATAGAAAGGGGTAATGGGTGATGAACCAAATACCGCCTGTTAACTGCTTATTGCTCAAGCAGACTTTCCCCTCTATTTTCATGCATCTAAAGCTAAACCTTGACTTGAACAAGAAAGCTGAACGTTTTAGTTTTGTATTCAAGATAGCGTACTGTTGACCAGAGGAGCTATTGTGTAACATGGAATGAGCTTCACAATCTACTCTTCTTGAAGGTGAGAGAGTCAGAGATAATATACAAAGCAAGCTTATAGAAGAAGCAATGTTTACACTGTTCTATGGACTTTGGAAGTATATGTTCAGTAAGACAGAGTTTCATGTTCTCATTCTTGGGATTGACAAGGCTGGCAAAACGGTAATGCAGCGTTCAATTGCTTTATTTTCAAATTCCAAAACCATTTTTCATTGTTCTGAATTGTGGTGCTATTCATAAATTTGTAGACTTTACTGGAGAAGTTGAAATCATCATACTCAAACTTAGAAGGACTTCCTCCTGATCGAATTGTTCCAACCGTTGGACTAAACATTGGTCGGATAGAAGTATCAAATACAAAACTTGTATTCTGGGACCTGGGAGGCCAGGTATGGGCATCAAAGTGGCAAACATCTTTTTCATTCTGGCTTTTTATGAGTTGCTGAAGACTTTAATGCTGTCACTTAGTTAAAATTCTTTCTTTTTATAAATTTGATACTTCCGGTGATTCTAGGTATGTCTTTTCTATGCTATTTTGATAGACTAAAACAGAATTACTGGAAAAGAAAGAAAATATTTTTATTTCAAGATTTTTGCGGGAAATCTGATTCGCTTATGTGGTTAAAAGTTACTGAAATGAATCCCCTAAAAGCTGTGATATGGTTATGTTGATGAGGTTGTATTTTTTTCTCTCTGTTTTCTTCATTTTTTTCTTCTTTTAAAAAATAGGGAAAAGGTCAGCAATAGAAGTTTTGAAGCCTTAAACTTCACCACTTTAGGAGATTCTCAATTTCATCAGATCCCCATCCGAAGTTACTCTGAAATTTATGTTGGCTTCGTTGTTTATCTTAGCTACATAACCTTTTCTACCTCTTCTTTTCTGGCTATATGTTAGAATTTGTTACTTGTTTGTTGAATCCTGCAATTTTCCACCTTCCTAATTTCACCCTTCCCTGTCTGAATCTCAAATTTTCTAACCTTGTTAATGCTAAAGGACTTTTGTTTGTGCAAAGCATGCTTCTTCTTCTTTTTTTTTCCAAACAGATGCCTCTTTCCTTTTCTTGGTTTGTATTTTTCCTCATTATGATTATAATTTATATGGTTATAATCTCAAAAATGCAATAGTTTTGTTCAGTTAGCTTGCTGGTATGGGGCCATGAGTAGTATCTATCATTTGGTGGAAAGCGCATGTACTTTTCACGCTCTCTTCTGTCTGTTATTGTGTTCCATTCCTTCTCTATTTTGGTTTATAAGATACTGATGCAAGGGGTGTATCAGCCTGGACTTCGATCAATATGGGAGAAATATTATGAAGAAGCCCACGCTGTGATATTTGTTATAGATGCTGCATGTCCCTCGCGCTTTGAAGATGCCAAGTCTGCACTTGGTTAGTAAGATTGATCTTTATGTTATAGTTTATAAATTCACAGTGCTCTAAGTCTAAGGTGTTTTCTGGCAATTGCAATAATACTGAATGTGTTTGGGGGGGGGGGGGACACAGATTGATGATGTAATGACTTTGACTTGTATATCAGAAAAGGTACTTCGGCATGAGGATTTACAAGGAGCACCTCTTTTAATATTAGCAAACAAGCAGGTGAGAGTAATTATCCCTTCTTGTGGTCCTATATAACCTTATAAGCTTTTGACACGTCATGAGCAAAATTTCTTGGTTCAGTATCCTCTGTCTATTGGATAATGACTATAAAATATCATGCAGTCCTGTGTGGATGTATGAGAAATTATAATACAGTCCAGTGTTTTTGGTTGCCATACATGAATTCCCATAAATTTTGAGACGCCAGTGCTTATGCAGCCAATGGGCACTGTAGGGGCACAAGGTAGTTTTTTTTCACCCGCAAAAGGGCAGAATTTGGCGACTGTTTTGTTTCCTTTTTTGATCTTTCCTTCAAAAAAGCATCTCAAGCTCTCTTTTGATCTTCTTTTGATTTCAATCTCTCTGTGGGAGCTGCCTTATTCACATTATTGTATTTATAGGATCTTCCGGAAGCAGTTTCGGCTGAAGAACTTGGTCGTTACCTGGATCTAAAGAAGCTGGGTGAAAGAGTTTACATGTTTGAAGCTGTGTCAGGCTATGATGGGTAAGTAGGAAGTTTATTTTCCAATGCATCTGGTTAGTAATTATCCATTCACTTACACACACCAAGCTAATATTTGTGTGTGTGTCTGTGATGATAAGGAAGCACTGAGGTTTTGTAAATGGGTTTTGTTTTAAAATATTGCAGAAAGGGGATAAAGGGGAGTGTAGAGTGGCTGGTGGAAGTGATGGAGAGAAGTAAGAGGACTGAAATGTTAAGAGTTCGGGCTGGTGCTATGGGTTCAGGCCCTGCTTAGGAGGGATCTTGAACTGAAATTGAGCTGTTTAACCATTCCTTTTCATCTTTTTTAAATCCAAATTGGAATGTAAATGACTCAGTCGTTGGAGAAGAAAAAGGAAAGAAAAGGAAAAGAACAGCTTCTGACTGCAGATCACCTTGATCCTGAAATTTCATTCAATTGTTGAAATTGTAATACAGTAGAAGCTTCACCAGGTGCTAGCAAAATCAATTTTAAGTCCTGGGAATGGAGGACTTTCTGCTTCTCTATAGTTCTACATAGGACACGCTATGTGAACTCCGCAGTCTTTGGTTGATGTGAAACTTTTTTGTGTTTAGATAATCAATCAATTATAAATATATCTGATATGATTTCTATCGAAAAGTACCCTCTGACGTGATTCTTCACACGCACACACTGCCCTATTCTATCAGCTGTATGCATGCCAGACCAGGCTAGTCCATGACTTCATGTATCCATTGACCTTGAAAAGGATTTGAAATTTACCATTTTGGATGACAATGTTAGTTCAACTCATTTACATATTTTTGTCAATTAGATTGTGGCCTGTGGGTGTTGCGCTTCTGAGATATCTTGCTAATCTGAATTTATATAAATTTTATACTGTATTATAACAATGTTGATTTTTATTGAGGATCGTGTGAAAGAGCACTTTCATTTATTTTAAATAATGAATCAATTTAATGGATTACTTCTCTCTTCACTTCTAAATGTAAAGGCTAATTGTCTAATTTACAGAGGTTAAACAAATTGGAAAAGCAGGTTATCTGTGAAAAAATGTGTGCTGTTTTTTTTTTAAATGTTTTTTTTAATCATGTACAATATTGAAGTATTATCAATATAATTTTAACTAACTCCATGTAGTTTAGGGGAAAAAAACTAATAAATTATTAATTAAATTAACTTCGTCTTGATCCCTAACTTTGAAAAGCAAATGGGATTGAAAAAGATTGATATTTTCATAGATTGTGCTGAAGCTATGGAAATAGTAAATGGAGAAATTCAGAAAAACCACCCTTCTAATGATTTTGTAGAAGGTGCCAGACTTTTCGTTAGAAGATATTGGCAAGTTTATGTTATTTTTTGTACATTGAAGTTAATCAATGGACTCATCTTTTAGTTAGGACGTTTCATGATCTTGTCTTATATTTTTTGTATCTTTCATCAACTCCCACTTCTCTTTATAGTAAACGCATGTAACCTCAGTATATTTGACTAATGTAGTTTTCAACTTCCATTAAAAAAAAAAAAAAGCAAAACCAAGTAGAAGGATGAAAGAAAAAGCAAAACCGAGTAGAAGGATGAAAGAAGAGTTTGGAAGATGCAAGGTAATTTAAGAGAGAACGAAAATACAACTTCGGGAGCATGAGAGATCCTCATCCTCATCCTCAGTGACGAATGCAAAGAGTGTTGTGGCAAGCTTGGAATTCAAGTTAAAGCTTTCTGCTGACTCATCCCACACATTAAACGCTTTCATTAGGCCTTGCACAGTCCACCTCTATTGTCCATTCTCAACTTACAGGAACTAATATATATGGTTAGGTTCTTATGAATTCTAATATCAAAGTTCTTATGAATTTACTTCTATGAAGTAGTTCAGTATAGCCTTGTAATTGCGCATTATAAATTTTTTAACATGACTAATAAACAAGTGTTTCTTAGTATAGAGCATCCATATAAATTATAAATAAACAGGTGAGACGAACTTACATCACCTTAAATCAAATATCATGTCTCTCGTTCTACATATAATAAGGGATGCGTTAGAGAGGAAAAATAAATGTAAAGAAAAAAATAAATCAGATATATAATCTTATTTTGTTTTATCAATGTCAAAGGAATCATAGATCTTGCAGACACATGTTTTTAAAGTAGTTTTTAGGTTTTTTCTTTCTATAAGAAACTTTTTCGACTTGAATTAAAATAAATCTCACATTTCAAATCAATAATTTAAAATCTTCTTTTAAATTTAGAAACAACTCATGGAGATAAACATTGAACATTAACAGTAATCATATAATAAATATTATATATTATATTCTTATATAATAAAAGTATTTATTTCCTATACCAAATACACCCTTGTTTTTTTATTTTTGTAAACAAATTCATTAAATTGAATACTTACTCTTCTTGGTCTTTATCATGAATCAAAGTAAAAAGCAGGTACACGAATCCATTGAAATTTATTTCGAAGTAAATAAACCTTGTAATGTATGAATCGATGGACATCTAATATTTTATATTTAGATAAGCACTCTCCCACATTAAAATCTTAAAAAATGAGCTGCTATTCTATAACAATACAATTTCGTTACGTTGGGTTGGGCGGATTGCAAAGTTATAACCCTACAATTTTGCTATAAATCCAATAGTATATGTTGATATTTTTGTATTACTTGGGGTAGACGATATTCAGATATTCAGATCGTCTCACGTCAAGTAGAGAGAATTTAATAGAATTTAAACTAATTTAAATTCAAATTGAGTATTGATAAATGCTTTGAAGTGACAAGCTTTTCACCAAATTTTAATACTTTTGTATTTTCACGTATCCAACTTCATATGCTGATATTACTTACTAGTTGTTGCTAGTTGTCAATTACCACGCATGCATTATCAGTACTTTCCCTTGTTCCCTAGTTTCTCAATAATAATAAAAAAAAATTTGTTGAAAAGGCCATTGAGGTGCGAGTACTTATGATAGCTTTTTCACCAAATTAAAACATTACTATTTATAAAATAAATAATTATGATTTTAGAATTTGTTATTTTAAGAATCTCAATCAAATCCATTTAATCAAAGTAAATGAAAAATGAAACAGCTTGGTCCCCAATTCACCGAATCAGTAATCATAAATTCAGAGCCGTCTTCTCCAAGAAATTCTTCCGTTTCTCTTTTTGCTTAACAATTAAAATCAGTTCAAACGAGGCTGATCATTTTCAGAACTTCTGAATCCAAATGATCGAAACCAGACGATGTCACTACAGCGTACTTACATGGTCTCACAGCTTACTCTTGCTCCTCCTAGCAACGATGAACGTCTCCGGCGGCGCCGTTCCACAGTCAGCTACTGCACCATCGCCGCTGCCGCTTTCGCCGGTGACTCCCGATGGCATCGACTTTGTGATTTTTGTCAAGGCCACAGCCATCGTGTGCGCTGTCCTCTTCATCACCGTCTTTTCGGTCTACCTCAATTACTGGACCGCGTTAGCGTTCGCCGGCCAGCACCAGTTGGGCGGTGGCCTTGACGGCGTAAATTGGCGGTGTTCTTGCTCCCGAGGAATCGACCGGGAAGTCCTGGACACATTCCCGATCCTCGTGTATTCCACCATCAAAAACCACAAGATCGGAAAAGGAGAGCTCGAATGCGCAGTGTGCTTGAGCGAGTTCGAAGACCACGAGACTCTCCGGTTGATACCAAAATGCAACCATGTGTTTCACCCCGAGTGTATCGATGCCTGGTTAGCTTCTCATGTGACTTGTCCCATTTGCCGCGCAAATCTGAAACCAGATTCCGGCGAAGTAGCAGTCAGAATGCCGACTCAGTTGAACGCTAATGAATTGAGCGTAGAGAGTGGAGGTAACAACTCGCGATACAATTTTTTGATGAACAATTCGACGTGTGAAATTTTAAGCGAGTAAATCTTCTCAAGCTCAACACTTCTAATAACAATGCATATGTACAGGTGGCAGCTATAGCTTAAGCCTCAAGGTTCCATATGTCGAGTTGATTTTTTTTTTTAAAGAACAGTTCAATGCTTAGATTTATAATTTAGGGTTTATTAATCGAAATCAATAGACTTTTTTTTTTTTGGAAGGCTTACCAATCATTTTGACCTGTTAATTGGTTTATTTCATTGAATTTGATTTCTTAAATTTATTTCAATTTAATATTTAAAATCAATTGATATTGGCATTGGTATCCATATCATATAAATATTTAACTTTTTTTATGATTAAAAGTGATATCTTGATTTTTTTAATACTTTTTAACTAATATCTTTTAAATATTAAAATAAAAACTAATCGTCAATCATCATCGACATATAGTAGATAGATAAAGTATAAAATTTATATCAAATCATATCGTTTATATGCCATAAATTGTGCTTGGTGTAGACATAATCGAATCAAATCTTATGGGACAATGAATTTAGCGAATTTAAAAGATTGAATTTTTGAATCTACAGAGACTTTTTGGGTTGCAAAAAAAGCGCTGAGAAGATATCTCATAAATCGTTCATAATTTCATTCAATTCAAAGAAATGAGAAGTAATTTGATTCGTGTTGATGGATATGAAAATTCAGGCAGAAGCAGGAGAGGTGAAGCGAGCGAAACACAGTATCACCAAGTGGCGCGGGTACCAAACGACGTCGGTCCGAGCAGCAGCAACTCTTCAGGAACAGGTAGAGCCACCATGGACGAAGCCAGAGCTAAGCAAAGTCGAGATCAAAGATCGAGATGGAGAATGTTCGAGAAGTTTCCGAGATCCAACTCAACGGGGCATTCGCTGGTGGAACAGCCTAGGACGAACAACGACACGGAGAGGTATACGCTAAGGTTGCCAGAGGAGGTGCGGAGGTATATTCTGATGAATCACGCGGCCATCGGGCATTCGGTGAGCTACCATGGGGTGATGAAAGGGGTGGGTTGGAGCGACAGCGAAGGAAGCAGCAGAGGTAAAAGGAACATGACGCCTGCAAGTGTTCATCGCAAAGATTAAGGTTTCTTCATTGTCTTCTTGATAAAAAGACACGCAACGTTGCGAACCACGAAAAACTTCTGGTTTGAAATGGTGAGATGCTGAGTTGGAAAGTATCTTCACTGTTGGTTCTTTCATAGCCTATATTTCTGATATTATTATATCTATTTTTTATTATTAGGCTTTTGTATTTGTTGCATATTCTAGGTTCGGCTTGGTTGATAGTTTGTATTATTTATCCAATTTTAAATATTTGAATTTTGTTTTTAATCAAGGGAAAAATATATTTTCTTCACTGTCATCAAAAGTTCATTTCTGAACTCATGTCTTAGATCACTTTTTATCTCATAAATTTTTGTCTGAACATGCATGAAATACCAGATAGTATTCTCGCCTGAAATATTATTGTGAAAAACCACTCACCACGGCATACAAAAACGACAGGTACAGAACCATTAGTATTATGCATCTAGTGCAGCTGTGTCAATTTCATCCTTAACCATGCAGTAATCCTCAGAACAAACTAAAACATTTGATATTTTAACCGCAGAGTATATACAAAAATAGTGCAGAAGAATTGAAGGGGAGGACCATGCCAGAATGCAAATAATAATGGTAAAAGTGAATGAAAAGGTTAAACACCTACTTTACTGTCAAGCTAACAAGAAACTAGTTCAGAACAACTCCTATAATGTACACAACACCAGAACCAGGGTTTCCACGCTCAGAAAACAACCAAAAGGATGTTAAAGGTTTAGTTGGTTATCTTTTTACAAAATATTTCCTAACTGTACAGTCTTAAGTTAGTACAGTTACTAGCTGATTGTTTATCTCTGGCACCCATTCCTTCTGTCTTGGCCGCCATATTGGCGCAGTCTGGCTCCAGCAGAATCCCCCATGCCAACGCCTCTAGTGTTGGGTAAAGCTGGATCCAGAAATGACTGTTGTTTAAATAAAGGATTCTGTGGTCCAAGATATTGGCTGCAATAATAGTCGGTCTGGCATAGATTATTTAGGCCACCACCTGACAAGGCTATCTCATTGAGTTCCTGGTTATTTGAAGTTCCGAACTGCTGCTGAAGGCAACTCTCACTATTTGGGTCATATCCCACTGGGATATTGCCAGTGAGAGTTTTTACTGCAAATTCTATGCAAGGATCCATCCATGAAATACCAAACGGTGATTCAGAAGTACTGCCAGTATGTTCTGCCGCAAGGTCTTTTGGTGGTGAAGACACATTGCATGCTTGCTTCCAGTCACTCACATTCTGCCCTATGATTTTCCTGTCATCCCCTTTAGCAGCAGCTGAAGTTTCAGAATACTTGCTATTCCTTAATTCAGATGAAATCTGACTGTCTTTGGAGGTTTCAAATGTTCCTTCAGTAAGAGTTTGTATTGCAAATGCAATGCATGGGTCTGATAATAGCTCTCCAAGGGGCAAGTCAAGAGAGTAGTCAAACTTTGCACCACCCTCCAGGTCTTTCACTTGCTCTTTGACAATAGCTGTGTTTCCCAGAGGCAAAAAAGAACAGCATTCTTGATCTTTTTCACTTTTTGGCTCTTCTAGAGTCTTCTCAGGAAGCTTTTCTCGAGCACATAAATTCCCATAAGAACGATTGCCCTGATTCAACTTTGGTGGCTCCTTTGTGTTCATCAAACTTCGAGGTTTATGCTTGATTTCTGATCCACTCTCATGCGCAGTAAGCTGTTTTGTTTCCTCATTAGGAAAACTCCCTGAAGATTTATCCTCATTTGTCAAGGCTACTTCACTAGAATTTTTAGCTGCACTTCGGCGCCTTGTTATAAGTTCTGGAACAGGATCAACCTGAATTCCAGCAAGACGTTTTGAGGCACGGCGAGGCAAGTTAATCTCCTTCTTGCGCTTGGATTTGCCCTGGCCTTTTTGAACTGTTTCAGTTGCGTGTTTTGCCTGTAAACTTTCTGGAAGTAGCTTTTCTGGGACAACTCCATCTGCACAACTGGGAATTAAATTACTTTCAGCTGAACTAACCTTCCCTTCTTTTTCATCTGAACATTCAGCTTGCAATGGAACTGAGCTGGTCAATTCAATGCCCATCGCACCTATATAATCACATGTAACCAAAACACATTAAATGCCTTTGCTGACTTGAGAAAAACCAAAATTCATTAATAATCAGAATGGTACACGGGTGTTTACATATAAAGTGAGCAAGTGTGAATGAGAGGTGAAAATCATGGAAAACCAATCCTCTAAACATCATCATACAGTGAGCAAACAAAGATATTCACATTAATTTTAATTTGATTCTTGAATACAATCTTCACCAAATTACTACTTGGACCAAAGGCTATGAAAAATATAAAACCTACTCAATTCCATATCTTTTTAAGATAACAGTAAGACGGAATTATTTTCAACCAGAATCACACTCTACTTAGAAAAAACATGCATCTTATTTTGAGAAAATATCAAATATATAGCAAGAAAGAATTTAATCAAATATATCTAAAAGGTGCTAATGTGAAATCAAACTTTCTACTAGAACATAAAGATCAAACTTCGTGTGAAATCTTCACCAAACTCTACTTAGAATAAAAACTTTACTAAATCGATGAAAGGCAAGATAATTGCATCCAAGCTTCATATAATCACATGAAATCAGTATAGTTTACTTCAGAAAAGGAAAAAAGGAAGGAAAGATAAAAATCAGAACTTTACAATGACAAGAATTGTGTTCGGAAAGAGGCATAGATTTTCCTGTAGATGCAGTTTTTTGAGTCTGATGGTCATTAACTATCCCGTCCAAATTTGCACCCTCACCCAAGACAGAGTGTCGAGTCACTCTGCCAACTGTTAATTTTGGCTTCTTGGCTACGCCTGCTGACTGAAAAGGAAATGTGAACAGGATTGTCAAACTAGAAATCTTGGCGAGGGAATTATGTCAAGCAAACAAAGGATTTCAATCACTCTGCAAGGATTGTCAAACTAAAAATCTTGGTGGGGAAATCATGTTGCGCAAACAAAGGGTTTCAACCACGCTGCAAGGCTGAAAATATGTTCATCAACAGAACTTATGAATCCAATTTAAGGCATTAATTCTAGTAATGAGATGACTGCTTTAGTATTCTGTTTTATAAGGCCACAATCAAAGATAGTTTCACCAGGTACACCGATAAACATTGTATTTAATTATTATCATGGCTTTGTTAACAAAATTACTGTTAAGATAATAAAGGGGCATAAATTGTATCATGTCCTACTTGTCAATAAGTAGCAGAACAAGGAAGGAAATTGTATCATGTCCTACTTGTCAATAAGTAGCAGAACAAGGAAGAGCCTGTACTATCACACCCAGCCTAATTGAATCTCACAGCCCATAGTCAACCAGTTCAACCAATATCAAATTATGTTGCAGACGAAGCAACATAGACTATTATCAGAATTGTCCATAGACATTAGAAAAAGAGTTAATTCAAGAAGCAGACCCTCAAACAGCAAATGTCAGATCGTTTGATGTTGTTAGATGCCCGTTAATGTTTGTGGGGTTCTTTCATGCTGTCAGGACGTGGCAATGCACTTTATTAAACTTGTTCCTGTCAATACTTGGTTATAATCTCATCCATGGAAAGGGAAACAGAAGAAAAGCCCAAATGAAAAGAAAACAAAGCTAATCACACAACAGTTCCAGATATTGTCCATTTAACATCTTGTTTGCAGTGCTGGGCTATTAGAAATTCCCTTTTCCAATTTTTACATGGCTAGTTGACAGCATTTTGACACACCAGGAAAGCCCAATGGTGGATGGATGCAAGTCAAGAGCTTATCTTACGATATTAACCAAGCATATAAACTGGAAGAACTCAAATAACAACAGCCCTTACAGAGAAAATGTCATCTTTCAATACTATATCTCCACTTCCTTTATCTTTTGGTTTGAATGCATTCCTTCCTATCTCCCCAGATTCAAGATAGCGAACAGCATCTTTTATAGATCGGAATACATACCCACTAACAGGATCAATGTAATACTGCAGATTAAGCATACAATTTGAAGTGCATTAATCATAAAGACAAATTAACAGCTCAAACTATTAGACATAACTTCAACTTTCAAGATCTCAGAAGACATAGCAATATGAAGCACAATTGGTAAAATTTCAGAGGCTAAAATACAAAATATTGAAAATGCTTACATTAAAACTAATTGGGAAGCATTATTATTCAATAGAAGGTGATATGGTAATGTTTACCGAATCTCTTCTTATTGTAGAACTCTTTTTTGTGACTCTGGTCTTTTTGATCCATCCTTCTGGTAACCCCTCTGCAACACCTTTCTCAATTACAACCTAGATTGCTTAAAGAAGCAAAGTTTTCTCACATTAGTTGATAGGACCAGATAGATTTATGACCCAGACAATATATGATCATCAAAAGAGGATTTGTAGACACACATTTTTCGAAATGTTTGTGACGCTGACTTGATTGTTCTGAGCTTTGTCAAGATAACGAGAAACCTCTACCATGGACTTGAATTTAAGTCCACTTGAAGGAGAAAAGTAAAACTGCAATAAGTATGAATTTCATAAGATTTAGGTTGACATCTTTGAAAATAGTCCTTTGGAGTTTCAGCGCGTAAATGTCCTTCTGGCTCAGTTAATTATTAAAATACAGCAAAGCAACGACTAGAGACAAAAGAGATAAAAGCTTGTTTACTTTATACTTGTTTTGCCATCACTGACTGGGAAATATTTTAAAATCGGAGCAAATATGATATGGATTTTTGAAAAAGGAAATTGCAGATTGAAAGATTAATAACCATTCCACAAATAGATAATTGAACTTAGCACCAGCGTAGGTTTCACGTAAGTAGATAACTGAAAAATTAATAACCATTCCACGCTAGTAGATATAAGAAATAAAGCACATTGAGAGTGCTAATTAGATTTCTCCCACAGCTAGTTTGGATGGATGGAATATAACATCATGAAACTGGCATCAAGGTAAAGATGATTCTCTCATCGACCAACAAAATAGATGACACTCTCACTTACGCTGCAGTTCCCTCTGTAAAATAAGCGACCAGGAATCAGAATAAATAGTTTTAATGAAAATTTCAAGCTTCGTAAATAGGAAAATCAAATTTGAAAAACTGCTTCGAGCGGTAAAATTCTCTAGATTCAAATATTATACAGACGCACAAAAACTTGCATGTATTTTTAGGAATACTGCTTCCAGAAGAAGCACCTCGATGGTCTAGCTTCATTCTTCTATGAGCTAGTTTGACTGGTGTGAAAATAGGATATACCCTCAAAACAGGTCCATAAACATCCAAAACCCTTTTATAGGTTCTTAACCCAAATAGTCAGGGAAGAGAGGACCTATAACACTTTTCCTTTAGTGCTTTCCCCTGACTCTGTAATCACAGAGAAAGAACAGCCACAGTCCATATTGATTTAGAAACTTCAATTGGGACGATATAGTTATAAGAAACAAGGTACAAAATGTCATGAGAGAACATGCAAATAGCAGATTCAACCAAAATGTAAACAACATAGAAATTTTGTTTCCCTATTACCACACGAACTGCAGCAACTTATCTCAAAAGCCAAGACTCTGTCTCGAAAATTTCTGAAAACTAGCGAAACCTAGCTCGCATCCATAACATTCCCTTCAACAAATACGAGAAAAAAAAAAAAAAAACATCTCAATTCCTCAAATGTTGTCCACTTTGAGGCAACCAAACCTGAAATCTCACCCCCGGGGTGAAACAGAAGAAGCTTATATCAACCCAAGGTAAGAGATCTCACATTTCTTAAGACAAGCCGTCAGAAGAAAAGCAAGCAGGAGAACTTCAATTACCTTGTCTCTCTTACCATTCTTCCTCACTTTCACTTCCACAGTCCATCCCGGAGGCAGGCGGTCGTCGGAGTCGGAGTCGGCCATTGCCGGCAACAGCAGTCGAGGAACAGAGATTCCGCTGATAGCTTGTTCGGGGGGCGGTGTGTCTCGTGATTGGTGTTTCTGCTTTGGAAGTGTCGGGGGCTTGAGTGCGCCTGCCTCCGAGTCAGGCCCTCAAAAAAGGCGAAACTTGCAACACCCACGTGGTGCCATACTTCCCCTGGGAATTGGGTATCTTTGTTTTTCATTATTATTAAGGGAGAGAACTTTGATAAACACATTTGGATCTTGCTTATTTAAATTTAAAATCTTTAAATTTTTAAAATTTTACTAAATTTAAAAGCATTAATTTGATACTAAATTTATAAAAAGTAATAATTTTTTTATTTAAATTAATATTAAAACTCATCTACTTCACTTATTTCTTTACTTACAAAATATTATTAATTAACTTACTTCACTTGTTCATTTTTCTAAAATAAAATCAAGTAAAAATCTGGCAATAAAAAAAAAAAGACAATGAATAATAATTCATAAATAAATGAATAACATAAAATGTAAGAACCAATAAGTTATCTTAAGATGATTTAAATACTTAAAATAAAAATAAATTAAGTAGGGTAATAAACAATATTCTGTAAGTAAATTAATAAATAAATAAGAAACTTTTAATATTAACTTAAATGAGAGGCAATTTTATCATTTTTTTAATTTAATATCAAATTAATACTCCTAGAATGTAGTAAAATTTTAAAAATTTAAGAACTTTAAATTTAAATAACTATGGTCCAAGAAGTTTTATTGAAATTCTCCCTATTATTAATTTATTATGAAAAAATACAAAAAATATCCTTAAAATATTCATATGTCAATTTAGCAAAGCAAAATTTGATAATTATGATTTGTTCTAAAAGATAATACGATTATTATTCAATGGAAAATGAGTGCTTTTATTATATTATTGATTAAAATAAAATATAAAATGATTATTTTCTTTATAAATTTCAAAAAGAAAGAAGTTATTTCCTAATTTATTCATGAATCACATGTTTGAAAAACAAGGGAAGTAAAGTAAATAATCCTTTTTTATTCTATTTTAATCAATAACTCAATTAAAATAGTTATTTGTTAACATATAATAGTTGCTAATTCTTAGTACCTACACTTGATTTATAAATAAAATTTATAAAAAGAAAATAATAACTTTCTATTACTCTCTCTGGTCTTATTTAAAAGGTAGAGAGATATTTTTTTTATTTATAACTTATCTTATTAAATTTTTATTATAAATTTTTTCATTCACCCTTCATTGAATGTTGTAAATAGAAAATATATTGTTAAAATATATTTAATAAGAGTAATGTTAAAAAATTATTAAATTTTTAAATAAAATTAATAAATTTTAAATTTTTTTATTTCAATAAAATATATTAAAAATAATTTATAAATAAAATTTGAAAAAAATATTTTAATCAATAGCACAATCAAAATACAATTTCCCAACACATAATACTCACGGAAGAAAAATATATTATTTTGTAAAAAATCAAAACGTCGTACAAGCCTTCGAGCACTAAATAATAATAACCATCATCATCATAATAGTGATATGCATATTGTCGGATTTTTTTTCATTCTTTTATTATTATATACATTTCTTTTTCATTTACTTTTCAAAGTGCACATTTGCCATTTGCTATACTGTGCAACTGCTTTTTCCCGTACGCCATTAGATCTTCATCCCTTCGTCTACCTTTTACCTGTTCATTTGAGTCACTTGTCCATTTCTTTATTGTTATTATTTTATTTGCATTTCCTAAGATTCAGACTTGTTTCTTTATTTTAAAGCCCAACTATTGGCCTTTCACCTTTCTAAGCTCACACATAATCATGAGTATTTGTCCGAAGGGGAAAAAAACATATCATGAACTTTATATTCCCTTTGTAATAAAATATTATTTGATTGAAAAAGTGATTTTAGTTTCACAAGATGCCGCGTAAAACATATGCTCATATTCTCTTTTGATTCTGGTACTATTATAAATTTTTTTAACATATTTTATCATAATAAAAAATTAAAATCTATTAGTTCTATTTAAAAATTTAATAATTTTTTAAATTTATTTTTATTATATATATATATATATATATTAATAACATATTTTCTCTTTTCAGCATTCAATAAAGAACAAATGAAAAAATTTATGATGAAAATTTAATAAAATAACTTAAAAATAAGATTAAAAATTTATCTTTCTACCCTAAAAATAGGACTAGATAGAGTATTTATTACTCATATGTCTTTGTGATTATTATTTATTTTTGATAATTTTTTGATATTGTGAATGTCTGTTTTTAATAGCTGTTAATTTTCATTTTTATAGATTTAACCATAACCGTAGATATTTGCGATGAACCCGATGTGATACGATTCCAACAGTCAAGAAAGCAATTCAGCTTCCTATAAATCTATTATATTCATGGGTTGTAGATGTATATATAGATGTAGTAAATGGGAAGGATAACATACAAAGAGCTCAATGAAAATTATTTAAACTCAGGCTTAAAGAAATTTAGATGAGTGTTGAGCATTTTCAATTTCCAGTGAAAATTCTAAAGTTTTGAACTCAAAATGAATGGAATATGGGATGGTAAAAAAATATAAAGAATACTCTCTCCAATCTTATTTATAAGGTATATTTTAAAAAGTATATTTAATTTTATTTATAAGTTATAGCACGGCTTTTTATATAATATTTAAAAAATATTTTTAAAATTATTTTTATAAAAAAAACTCACATTATATTTTAAATTTTTTATATAAAGATATATTTAAAATTTAATACACTTTTATTTATTTTATTTTTTTATATTAATATTGATAAGGGTAATAAAAGTGAATTAAAAAAAGATCAGAGGAATATGTTATAATATAAAGCGGGGAAGCAAGAGGGAAAGTGTAAGGCTGAAAGGGAGGTGGCGGGGCAGGGGACTATTGCTCAATGGCCAATGCATGTCAGAGAGGCTGAGGGTCACGTGCTGAGATCTCCACTTGCATTTGTCCATACTCTTGCTCACTCCCTCGCCACCCACTTCTCCTTTCCCAAGGCAACCCCTTTAACTTTCTCATATTTGTTTTCAAGGGCTTTCATTTATGTCCCCACGCTTTCTTTCAATTTCACTCATTCACCCCATCCTTTATTTTTGGATTTGAGACGAGAGGTGGGACGTGACCAGCCCATCCCTGTCTGGTTTAGCCGCATGGAAGGGAACGTGAGCTGAAAATGAGATTTTAAAATATGTTTAGTTTACACATGAAAATATGTCATTGTTTATCAGATAAGTGAATGAGAAAGTGAGTTCCATGGGTATGAAAATGGAAATGAGTTTCACCAATTTGGATAAAAACAGATTTTTTAAAGAAGTGAGATTCATTGTATCAAATCATCTACTTTTTTTAGTTTCACTTTCACTTTTTCAATCTCAATTTCATACTAAGGTTATTTAGTCTGGAAACCTTATTTTCCTTCTATAATATCACCCTTATTACTTTCGCACTAAACCAAAACCATCACAATAATTATGAGACTAATCCAAACAAATTATTATGTTTCAATTTTAAAAAACTTAACTACAATTAAAAGAGTTTACCATAGTAGAAAGTAAAGCACCATTATGGCCATGCAAATTGAAAAGCTCTTTGAAAAGTCAAATAAACATTGCATATTTTAAAAATAAAGCAAAAGGGATCCCAAGTTTTGAAAGTTAAACGCCTTAAAACCAAGTAAAACTAGTTTATATCAAAGTATAAACATGAACAGAAGCATGAGATACCATATGGTACTTAAAATATTTGAAAATAGGTTGAAAAATATCAAAATGACACAACCAGAGGAATCAGTTGTAGCTGAAGGAGATGCGTTATGACCAGCTTCTCTTTATGCCATGCATCACAATACAATCACCATGCGTTGCAGTGCATTGCATAGAACTAGATAGCCAATAGGTGTCTTTGGGGTTGGAATTCCATTGTGTTATATTTCTTCGTTTGACGTTCTATCGAAATGATCTAAGTGTCCACATAAAGCTCTTTTTATAATTTAGCTAGCAGCACTAGTTTTATTCCTTAATTATTTTTTATTAAAAAGTAGGATACCCATACATATTGAAACTATTTCACAATTAACAACAACCAAGGTATCAAAAACCTAACCCAAGTGCCAAAAGCATAACCTGACACCAAGAACACATTCAATAGACTTAGAACAACCTGTGCAACACACCACAATATACATATCATAAATTTAACCCCCAACCCTTTGATCTAAAAAACAATAGAGGGAGGTTCTCAACATTTAATATCTCAAAATATTATTCATATGTATCATTACGTGCACAACTATACTTGTACTAATACTTCAGCCTTAATAAAGTAACTCGCATAATCATTGGCTTTAGAGCTAAAAATACATCCAACCATATAAGCATGCCAACAGTGCAAGTATAACCTAAAATAAATCCCTAGTTGGTAATATCATTAAGAATTACACATATATAAAAAGCATGATAAAAAAGGCATGTAGTAGGAAACAAGGTTCTTATGCCTCTAGTACTTTCCCTCCTTCCTGCTCTGAGCTGGTGCTTGTAAAATATTAAAGAGAGGGGTAAGTACAATGTAATATCTTAGAAAAGTTAATCCCCAATTAGCTAAATTAATGTGTTGTGTAGTTATAGAGAACTAATAGATGTTACAGGTTGTGATTTTAGCCATATATAGGATTGAGTCTGGAGCAAAGTTAAGCTACCCAAACATTAAAAAGTGAGAAAAATAAAGGGGAATGGCTTTGTGCCACATCTTGTGGTGCATGCATGAGATGCCGTGGCTCACAAGCCACCAGAATGTAAGGGTTCCCTCTCTATGCCATATGCTGTGGCACCTGTAAGGTTACATTTCTACAAAGATAAGAATGTGAAATAAACATAAAATAGAGGAGAAACAAAGGAGGAAACAAGGAGCACATGAAAACCTCTACTAGTGCTTGGGATTTGAAAGCATTTAGAGTATTTTAAAACTTTTAAATACTAGAGGTAAGATTTCTAAAGTCTTTCCCTCTCTCCCTCTTGCATTTTCTTAAGTTTAGGAGTTAG